GAACGGCGTCTGCGTCCGTACGACACCGGCGTCCACGACGCGAGCGTTCACGCTCACCGATCATCGGTCGATCTCGAAGATTGATCCACCTTGTGGATAGGTTGGAGCCACCACAGTTGACTCACAATTAGGTCTCGGACCTTGAGCGTCCAGTCGCTCGGCTGAACATTCAGCTTGCCTTGTCCCTGCATCTCGAGCGTTCGCTCCGCGACCTGTGGCTCTGCCACATGCTGCTGATCAGCCATCTGTGGGTCCACCACTTGCTGTCGTTCAGCCTTCCGTGGCTCTACCACCTGCTGCCCTGCAGCTGTCCGTAGCCCAGCCACCCTTGGCGCTAACGCCTCCGCGCTCACCTGAGCAGGGTCTTGATATGGCTTAAGCAAGCCAACATAGAAGACCGGATGCGTGCGCATCTTCTTCGGAAGGCTGGGCGTATACGCTAGGCCCTTCGTGGCCACGACCTTGAACTGTCATATGAACCGAGGTCTCAGCTTCGTCTTGAAGACTGCAGACACTGCATGAGTGGGTAGTTTCTTAGCGTTTAATAAAACTTGGTCACCGACCTCAAACCTTTCAACATTGATTCTGCCCTTGACATTTGCATGTTCCTTCTGCGTGTCTTCGATTTCACCCATAGTGTCGCGTACTTGACGTATTACGCTTAGTCTCAAAGCGACAAAGTCATCGACTTGCTTACGAGCCGCAACAGTGCTCGAATCAGCTAGCCGCTCGGCTATCCCTCCCCCATCAAGCCCTGAGCCACTTTGTGGCGGTGTCAGTGGGACGCGGGGGTTAACCAAACCGTTCACATAGAGCGAAGTGTAGCCTGTCGAGGCGTGCACTGCATTATTTAATGCGAGCTCAACGAGTGGGAGCATCTGGCTCCAGCGTACTGGCGCCTCCGCTTCGGAGGATATCCTCCACAACGCGATTCACGCGTTGGATTTGACCATCGGTCTGCGGATGGTCCGCTGTGGACATGCCCAAACGAGTGCCGAGCACTCTGAAGAGGGACGCCCAGAACTTCGCGGTGAAGCGCGGGTCTCAATCCGAGACAATTGCCTCAGGCAAGCCATGTTGGCGAAAGACTCGGTCTAAAAACAGCAAAGCTGTACCTTCACCATCAATGGTGTCCAACACCGCTGCTAAATGAGCCATCTTGCTCAATCGGTCTACAAAAACCACATACCCGTGTTTCCCGCCTCATCCTTGGGAAGGCCAAACACAAAGTCCATACTCATGGACTGACAACATCCGTTGGGGACAGGCAAACTCGCCAATGGCGCTACCGTGCTCGGCGCGGACTTTGTCCGTTGACACGTCTCACACGTGCGTACATAGGTGCCGACCCACTTATACATCTTGGGCCACCAGTACATCAAGATCACCGTCCATAAATCTTCTCCCGACCTAAGTGCCCGCCCACGGGTGTATCATGAACCTCATAGAGGATTCGATACTTTAGATTTTCATCATGAGGAGCGACTACACAAGGGTTATCCTCAGCGTCGGTGCTGTAATACAGCAGGCCGCCATCGAGCGAGTATCGATGCAACCTCGCGCGAAAGCGCCCAGACAATTCCTTGTAAGAGTCTTTAAACTCTTCGCTCCCAAGAGCCCGTAGCAGCGCTACTCACATGTCGTCCTGTACATACGCTCCGCGTATCAAGTCAGGCACTGACGACGTCACTGTCGTGAGATGAGCTAACTCGTATTCCGGCCTGCGCGAGAGCGTATCGACCACTACATTAAGCCGCTCCGGCTTGTACTTCACCTCGAAGTTGTACTCGGCAAAAAAAGGAAAGCCATCTTGCCATTCTCTAAGAGAGATCGGCGACTCTGTCGCAGTGCGTAGCGACGCATGATCAGTAAAGATCACAAAAGGCTTAGAGCCTAGCAGGTGTCCCTTGAATTTGACTAGAGCAAACTTCGTTGCAAGTAACTCTTTGTCATGAACTGGATAGTTCTTCTCTGCAGCTTTGAGCTTGCGAGACTCGACCGCAATCACGCGTCCACGCCCTTCGGCGTCTACTTATAGTAAAGCACAACCGATTGCAAAACCGGAGGCATCACAGACGACGCTAAACGGACGATCCGGTTCCGGTAGCGCAAGGATCGGAGCCTGGAGGAGGCTTTCCTTCACAGCCTCAAAGGCTCCGTGCTCGACGTTCCAGCACCATGGTGCGTCCTTCTTAAGGAGATCCGATAATGGCTGCGCCATCTCCGCATAGTTCGCGCTGTACTTGTGCAAGTAATTGGCTAAGCTAGCCACTTGCGTAAGTCTTTTTGGTTCTTGGGAACCGGCCAGTCCACGATGGCCTTATTTTTGGCAGGATCTGCCCGTAAGCCTCGCTTCCCAATGAAGCACCCCAGGAAAAGTATTTCTTCCGCGCCAAAGACGCACTTGTCCAAGTTGACATACGACTTATTAGTGCGCATGCACTCGAGCACCGCTCGCAAGTGGTCAACGTGGCTCTCCACGTCTGGATTTCCGTGCTCAGCACGACTATGGACGAATGTATCGTCAAAGTACGTTTGAGCGTACGCCCCGTGGGGCCTAAACAGCTGCGTCACAAGACGATTGAGCGTTGCTGGTGCATTCGACAGCCCCTGGGGCATGACCAGCCACTCCCAGAGCATACGCTCGGAGTACTCACCGCTGTCAGCGGAATGTCGCTCGCTCTCATGAGCAATTGGTAGTAACCATCGACCAAGTCGAGTGCGCTGTACAACGTACAGCCTACCATGTGGTTCTGCAGAGCATCCTTGCGAGGAATCGGCGTTTGCGCCGGGATAGTGGCCGCATTTAGCTTGTTAAAAGCATGAACAATTCACCACTTGCCGTTCAGCTTTCTGTCACAGAACGTGGGTGTCGAGTGCGGAGACTTACTCTCACGCACCATCCCTGCCTCGTGCTTCGCAAGGAAGAATGCGTCAATGACGTCACACTGCTCTCTCGGCAAAGGTCATTGCCTTGTTACGCAGTATTGGGTTCTAGGAACCAGGTCAATCTCATGACACACGCTTCGATCCGGAGGCAGGCCCATCGGTGGGTCTATCGCAGAGGGCCTACAGGATTGTGATCTTGATCCACCCAAACAAGATAGTCACTGTCAATGTGAATCGTCTAAAGCGGCTCCAGGGCTGTTGAAGTCGTCCTTACGCCGACAAAGTTCCTGATGGCGTAGAGAGCGACGCTACTGATGACGGAACGGACCTGCTGGCCGAAGGCGGCTTGCCGTCGACGAGCTTTGCGGGACGTCTCTCAATTGGAGGAAAGGAGACGGCGATTACAGGAGTAAGCTCGTTGATAGTGGACATTGTGGCTAAAAAGGTCGAGGCTCGCGAAGTACAATACTTAACTCTCAACGCGACGAATGAGGCGCTCTGGCTTTCTCGCGCCGGGCTGTCACCGGAATATGAAGCGCTGATCAGAGCATTTGAGGACGCAGACCGTAAGAAACGGGGTCTGTCTGAGCTGCGTCGAAACGCCAGGCTGGTCGAAGTCTACGCTAGCGTGGACGACGCGGATGTGTTGTTCTAGTCAGCGGTCCGCTAGGCTAGGACGGGTATGGCCCGAGGGGTTATGCTGAAAAAAGTGTCTGAGGGGGTTCAGCACTCTAGCCATCCTGTCAGTATGTGTTTATTCGTGTTGGATGAAGATAAGATCGATTTTTCGCGGCGTTCCGGAGGAGACGCATGATGAGCTGAAGTACCTGAATTGTGTAACGTCACGATTATCGACTAAAAAACGAAAACTGACAAAGGAACGACGATTGTGGAAGGAGGACGTCGGGACGAAGATGGAACGAGGACGAACGACGGTCGTGGGACTGGGACATCGGGACGTGAAACGACGGTCGAGAAACGAGTTCGTCGGGACGTGCCATACAGCGAGGGCATTGCGACGGAAATTTTGGGTAAAGAAATTGATGATAGGACGTATGTCATGGAGTGAGAAGCTAACACGTTACGGAGAGTCAGGCAAAGCATGTGATACGGACCGAGAAGAAGTAAGAGCAACATGACGTTGATAGAAGGCTTAGCATAAACTACAGCACGAAGGGTTAGCCATAGGGTGGCCCTCCTACAACTCTGCCACGTTCTCTTCGTCGGAGCCGTGATCGCCCCTCTCATCCGCCGCGGACTTCTCTTCGCTGTCGGCTTCTACGTCAAAGTCCGAATAGTCGGCGTGACTTTTATCCAAGTATAAGATCGGAGCCTTGGGAAGAGTGCAGCGGGGCTGCCGTAGCTTTAGCGTCAGAGGAAGACGTTCGACTCAAATAATCACTAATACTAAGCTCCTTATCCAAAGGACACTTACAGCCCAAGCCCAGGGATCAAAGTTAATACCTTAACTTTTATGCTTCAAAACCAGAAGTGTTTTATATACTATTATTGCGGCCAAGCCTCCTAGGGGTAAATGTATCTATTTAACTATCTAGCATAGTTAAACCTAATCAAATGCATAACGTGTGGCTTTCAGCCAACGTACTGAGAGACCTTGCTAACTCTCCAACTTATGTACTGAGAGTTTGTTAACTCTCCGGGTACTTCGTACCCCTGTGTGCTCCACACCATGTAACCCCGTTACACTCTCCCCCACTAAGATGAGAACATTCAGTTCTCGAAACTTTCCTCATCGAAGTCACGTCTTGTTAAGACGGCGGAGGTTACTACACCTCACACCAGCGCTATGAGCTCACAAACGCCTACGCATCATTGATGTCCAGCTTCTCGTCGTCGGTCCACGGCGAAATGCTCCAAGCGCAGCGCGCATCTAGCTCTCAAGCGGTCTCAGACCTACGCTCGCGCTCCGCGCCTACTCCAAGAGTTGCAAACCGCTTAGAGCTATGCTCTTAGCTCATCCGAGTCGTCGGCAACCACTCAGCGGTTGAACTTTCGCTTCACAAGCGATAGGTCGGTGGCTCGATCCCACCAGGGCGTCGCCCTCTCGTTCCATGCATAATTGTCCACGCTTGGACAAGCTTAAGAGCAACACCCTTTTAGCTCAATGGTGAAGCGTTAGCTTTTAGAGCCACAGGTCAGTGGATCGAACCCACGAGGGCACAGCCCTCTCGTTCCATGAAATGTTGTCCTTGTGGCTTAGCGGCAACACCCTTTTAGCTCAGTGGTCGAGCGCTGGCTTTGGAAGCCACAGGTCGGTAGTTCGATTCCACCTGGGCGCAGCCCTCTCATACCATGAATAGTCCGTTCTCGGACAGACGTACGGGCATCGCGCGCATCGCATTATAGCTCAATGGTAGAGCTCCGGCCTGGAAAGCTAAAGGTCAGTGGTTCGATCCCCGTCCGGGAAATCACTTAACTCTCCGGGTACTTCGTACCCCTGTGTGTTCCAAACCATGTATCCCCGTTGCAAAGAGCGTACTCTCCCTGGTTCAGATCATTCGTGACTTATGCCTGCCGCGTCCTGATTCGACTGCTGTTGATCAGCGTTCTCCATGGTTACTAAGCCCTGGCGCTAAGCGCCCCCCTGGGCTGGACGGCCACTCTTGGTATGATCCCGCCTCGTTCCCAGACATTCACCGCGCTCACTGGCATTTCTAAATGAGGCATCGGCGTGCATTTTGGGAGTGGGCCTTTCACGTGCCTGTCGAGTCCACTATGACGCTGTCTTATCGCTGCAAGATCAAACTAAAGGCCTTCAAGGATCGGCTCTCATTCTTCAGTCTCTGCATCGAGACGTCCGACTTCTTCGGCTTCTTTGAGGAGCTTGACAAGTCCCCACAGCTGTTCTGGCTCGGAGGCCCACCAAGCCGGTCCTCGAGCGACACTCGCAAGGACGACGGAGCGTACGCAGAAGATCTCACGTCTTTGGTCCAGCGTGACCGGTTCCGTTACCAGGCCACTCTCGAAAACACGCTATCCCGACAGGATCGACTCGTACGGATACCGTACCGTGCGAGCGTTCTTGGAGCAGACCGAGGCAATACTACTGCACGTCCAGCCCCATTTCCGTCCTTGCCCCGAGCCTCCGCCATCCGGAGGACGACCTCGATGGCCAGACGTACGAGGTAAGCAGCCTTGTCACCAACTCCGAGAGAGTCAGCGAGCGGAGTTGAGGCTGAGACGCCTGTGGTCGCTGCCGGAGTACCAGAGGTATTGGCCCTGTTTGAATAACGCAGTATCGTGGCTGGCGTGTCGAACGATGAAGCTGGGCTCGGCGACTTGCGCTTGGTACGAGTGGTCGTGGTGCTGGGTGAGAATTTCGATGTTTCAGACGCATTTGCTTGCTTGGATGTGCTCGTGGACCCCGTTGGGACTGAGGGATTTGACGGCGGCGACGACGAGGAGGTTTTGGACGACTCAGGGCGACAGGTAGCCGGCAATGAGGTGTCTTTGCTTGGCTGAAACTGAACCAACCTTGGGCTCGGAGCTGGAGCAGATGGAACGACGACTGGAGATGGTAGAGCCACGACGGTACCCTGCAGCGTGGAGCGCTTGGAGTCTGTGAGGTCACGAGCGAGCCGGTCTATGTGTTTCACGCCCGAGAACCATGGGTTCGTGGACAAGGCACTCTTCAACACCTCCCAGAACGCGAGTCGAATGGAGCGGGGATCGACGCCGAGAAGGCCGCGCGCCTCGAAATCGATGGCCTCGTCGAGGAACGACTGGAACCACGCGCGTTCCGTCGCGGTAAGACGTGTCGACATTGAGGCTGGAAGGTGTCGTGCGTGGGTCGGTATCGATCCGAGAATGCGGAGAGAGTTAGGTGGCTGCCTCGAGAAAAGACCGCTTGCACTGAGCTGATTGGTTGTAATAGGTCGAGGAGAGTTGAAATAGGAGCGATGTGAAAGATAGAAACCCGGAAAGGCTGACGTCAGTCAGGGACGCGGCTTGACTAGCTAACACCAGGCTTTTCGACGTATCTCTATCTGCCAAGATAGTACGCGATGTGGAAGACCGTGGCCGCGTGCGCCTTCGACGCGCTCGAGATCCTGTGAGTGGTGAATATGTCTGCGCTCGGGTGGACCATCACTGACATTGTGATCTAGGCTGTTACAACCCCTCTCCGCGACGTGACGGGCGTGTTCTTCGCTGGAGTGGCTGACTGTTTTACCACGGCGCTCTTTTTGGTTCGCAAGTGGAGAACGCTACCTGCATGCGGGTCGCCAATCCCATGGCATGGGCCTGTCGACACCTAAGTATGCGTGGGCCAGGATTGGCCTGACGCTCCTGATCCCGATCGCTGTACTGAACGAGTACGAGCCCCGGTTCGGGATTGTGGGAAAGCTGTGCGTGAAGTGGGGAGAGGCGTACCACCACATACTCTGCGTGCTCAGTCCTGATGCAGTGCAGCTGGTCTGGACGTCGTCGTGCCGGTACACACGCGGTTACGCTGAGGCCTCGTTCCACACTGTGAGCCGGACAGGAGATGTGGCATTCGGACTCTACTTGCTGGTGGCTTTGCTTTTCTCGACGATGATGTGCTTACCAGGGGTCGTCTACGACGTCTACGAAGGGCTGTGGCAAGAATGGATGGGCGTGGTGGTGCCTCTTCTCGTGGTTAATTGGTGGATGTTTTTTTTGGAGGCCCGAATGTCTTGATGTTCCTACTATGCTACTACAGCCACTTCATGAGTTTTTTTTATGACCAACTACTTAGTAGTGCTGGGGACGTACCGCTCGTGACCGTAAGCTAGCCCCCTCTCTACGCTGCCCCCAAGGGTTCAACCTCTGCTCCTTCCGAATCCGTCGTAGATATCGCGTGCTCCCTCTGAACCCCTTCGCTTGTGTTATATATACCATACAAATATTAAGTATAAATTGCCTCCAAGTGGGCACCCCCACTGACGCATGCCCACTTCGGTAATGAAGTCAGTCCTTAATATGGGGTCTAACCAACAAGTGGTTTGCCGGACCCCTGAGCGTAGCTCGACGCAGCTTGGTCCCACCATCTACACCTGCGTCAAGACAAACAGAGCAGCTCATCTTCGCCAGCAGCTCGAGCGTTAGCAAACTCAGCTTCAACAACAACAGCAACAACTGCAACTCCAGCTTCAACTCCAGCAGCTTCAGATCCAGCGGCAGCAATTGACGCATTCAAGACAGCCCCCAGTAGTGCAGCCAACCGTATCGCGATTCGCAGCTCTTGTTGAGAATGAGGCTGCTGTCATCGACGTGAAGGCTCTGTGTGCACAAGCTGAACTGGAACTTAATCAAGATCTGTTTGTCATGAGACGTCACGCAAAGCGGTCTGGCACTTTGCCCGACTCATTTGAAGGGAGGCGTTCTGGGGGATTGACATAGATAAATTGGAAAACGATCATGCTACGCTGGCGTACTGCCTTCTCTGCAAAATTACAATCCGATTTCGAGTAGGCAAGTCAAAAGTGCCGCAGCATATGGATGCCTACCACCCGGTTGAGGTGGCGACGTATCTGGCCCAGGCGGAGCAGCTACGGCGCGGTGAAGGTGCCCCTACCGTTCGCAATCTCGCGAATACATTTGCCGAAGTCACTGACAGGGGCAAGAAGCGCCCCCTTCGAGAAATCACTGCTGAGGAGCAACGACGTGTCAATGAGCTTCTTGCTGAATGGGCGGCTCGTCACTTTCGGCCGATGATGATTGTGGAGGACGCAGGTATCGCTGAATTTGTTCGCTTTACTACTGAAGAACTTGGCTCCGTAAAAGTGATTCTTAGTAAACGTGGCAAGCTAAGACTGGAGATCATCATACTGGCCCAAGAGTGTCAAAGTAGAAATCCCGCGTGGGTGTAGATAATACTCAATCACATGCGATATTTGGACTGGAAGGAATGCGAAAAGCTACATTGCTTTGACTATTCACTACGTCGGTGACGAGTTTACCGCTAAAAACTGGACGCCCGAGGTTCGCGAACTTGCCGGTATTCACGACGGAGACTCAATTGCCACTGCCATAAATCGAATTTCGGAAGAATGGTCACTCGACAAACGCTATTGCGTTTGCTTTCTGAGAGACGGTGGGTCCAACATGGTATCAGCGGCTAGAATACTGGGTCTCAAAAAGACGAAGCATGCGTTGTACATAGTCTTCACTTGTTTGTTGCTGGTGCCATTATCAAGAAAAAGAAGACGGAACGCGAATCGCAGCCTGCATGGGTGGATACTGCTGCTGCAGAAGGCGATGCGGACATTGTCGAACACGAAGATGAAGCAGTTTGTATCCCCAAGATCGAAGCGAAATCGAAGCGCTTCGAGAGATTGCTATTGAAGATCTGGATGGGCTCTTAGACGAGGCTATTGCAGCACTGCAGCAAAATGAAATGACTTCAGTGCGCACGATTGTACAGCACTTCCGAACGCTGGCTGTTTACTCTCGAAAATCGCCTAAAGGAAAGCACCGACTAGGAGCAATCCAAGTGAAGCAGCTTAATGTCAAAGTCAACGACGTAGGCCTAGCTACGCCCCTGAAGTGAGCTGAAGGGGGTGGCGCTTCTCGATCCTCGATTTGCTAAGCGAATGTCTCACCTAGATCCCATCGAGAAGGCTTAGGCAGCCGCATATCTGATTAAAGCCACGATTGAGCTGGCACGAGAGGCTTCGCCAGACACACGCGGTAATCCGCCTTCTCAAAGACCAGTCCAACCTGCTTAAGACAGCTTTATGCATGATTTTGGGTTTGGTCTCGACGACGATATCACAACCACGCCAGATCTCGAGCTAGCCTGCAAATAAGAGTTCACGAAGTACTTAGGGGTTGTTTCAGCTGTGAAGAGCTCCATCGACCCTTTCAAGTGGTGGCATATCAAAGCTAGTAGCTTTCCTATCTTAAGCCGTTTAGCAGGAAAATGGCTTGGGTGTGTAGCAACCAGCGTGCCATCGAAACGGGCGTGGAAACATTTTGACAGTCAAACGCCCCCTGTCGCCGGATATGATGGGAGACTTGGTGTTTCTAGATGAGAACTGGCAGGGACTCTAATAGATTGCTAATATAAGTAGTACATGTTCTTTACGTAAATTTTGTCTTACGTTTTCAATAAATTGTACTACAGTAGTATCCACTACTGGCAATCTCACTGTAGCATAAAGAAAACGTGCGATTTTAAGGCACTGTCGATCGGGCGTAAAACGATTAGTGGCTGCAAAAGCGGAGGGCATGTTGCACGTCATCTGGTGTCGTTGAGTGAGCGCAACTCTTGTTCAAAGAGCTGAACAAATTCAGAGAATGGAGTAGTGCAGGAAATGCGTAATCTTGGCTTGCAGATAGCAATCACAGTATCAGCAGATAAATGAGGCGTTGTTAAATCCATCGTACGTAGGTGTGGCTCTAGGTCGAGCTCGTATACCTTAGCTTCCGGCTGTATGACACCACGGATTCAGCTAGACATCCATTGCTACGACGATTTAGCAGTCGACAATAGTCTCCGACATCGGGTTTAAAGGACACAGCTACTTACCGATGAAGCACAGTCATGGTGCGTTTGGACGGGTTTCACGTCTTGAACTCGTTCGACTTGATGATTGCCGTTGATCTCGACATTTTGAGCGCTCTTTATATCGTCAAAGTCCAAGCAGTTTGGCTACAGTTTAAGCATCACATATTCATTAAGCGAGCAATCATAGATCAGTGCGAACGCTTACCAGCGCGATTGGGCTGACTAAAGCTTGAAACGTACCGCTGGACGTCTTGCGCCCGTCAATCTGTCTTCAGTGTCCATGAGCTGCTTCTGCCGTGAGCTTTTTCTTCCTCTAACGACCGCACAGGACGCAATTCAGGACGATTAATCTCTCAGTTCGCGTTAATGCTTCTGAAGGCTCTATTGTAGCCGTGACACTAGTCAGAGCCATCACTTCGCCTTCTTTTCCGAAGACGTTCAGTGCTGATGGTCTGTTTGAAACACACAATTTTGAAAGAATACATTTGTTAAGTTAAAGCACCGAAAGGGGCTACTAGAGGGTTCAGAGGGAGCACAACCCTCCTGAACGTACAAGTCGCAGAGTGAGCGTTCGGCGGTACGTAACCAGTACTACTACTTAGCGAATGTAGTGCAGTCCCGTCACGTGGCAAACCAAGGCTGGAACAGTTTTAAGGAACGGATGAGCTCGCGGGGTGAGGTAGAACGTGCCAGCGTGGAATGTCTACAACACGGCGTGTTGCTACCCACCACGGTAGTTTCGAAGCCGGAAGAGTCCGATGCGAGACCCGAAGTAGAGACGTCTGCGGCTGACATTCCTGCGGCGCCGTTCAAGCCGTTTGAGGAGTGTGGCGTGTGTCAAGAAAAGAACGTCGAGCGTCAGTCGGAGAGAAATGGCACGGTCCTCTCCCAAAAGACGACTTGACCATTTTCGCTGACTGTCTACAGGAGATGCGTGCACTAGAGGTCCAGCGACAGGCAGCTGCCAAAGGACCGCCACGGACACTACGAGAGCCGTGGGTCCTGCCCAATAGTCCAAGTGTATATTGAAGGAGCCGACTTTGGACCTCCTATCGTGCCGGGCAGTAGCGGAAGGTAAGGATTCTATTTGCGTCGCTAAGGATGGTTCAGCAGTCCGTCGGTCTGCTATTTAGTTTAGTCGTGATTTTCCCTCGTAAGAGACAAACAAACAAGAAGAAACTTTCATTTTTATTTCTACACAACTTCGTACTTCTTTTCTACACCGGCTTATCAGATATTTGACCCCGGAACGAAGGAAGACCGCGACATGTCACGAGGCCGAAAATCCACCATTGAGCCAGGTCCAGCTTGCATAAAAATGTACTTCAGCTCCAGCGCGCTTTATCACAGGCAAATTATTTGAAGCCATATCATTTGAAGCTTTAACTGCAAAGTCGCACTATTCGGTCCGCTTTCCCGAGTTAAACTCAAATTAGGTCTGCTAACTGACAAAAAAGGTTTTACTATTGCTTTTACATGGACTCTTTCTGTGGTAAATCAATGAGCAAACAGCATATGTTACTGTTACTTCGAAGTACAATTCTTCAGTCGACATTAAAAAATTAACATAATGGACAAACTTTCTCAGTTAAGTACCCCTGAATACAAATATCCGCTTCTTTCGGATCACTATTCACTGATGAGAGGATATAAGTCCGTTTATCTTTAGTTTGTAAACAAGCGGTCATCGGTAGACTTTATTTGGAGGGAATTACTATCGGGGATATCAATCAATTCATGTACAGCTGCAGCGTGCTGGCACCCAAATGATTCTTAGTAAGAATCATTTGGTGGCAGCAGATGTGACACCACCCTTTTTCCGCGTAGGTACGACTGCGTTTCAGAATCTGAGAGATGGTCAAGCTGTTATGCGCGATCGTCGGCGTACCTGGAAGCGCATTTCCTGTAAACGTTGACGAGAAGGAAACAGTGGGAGGCTTGAAGAATGCAATCAAGCGCCAGAGCGATGGCTTAATCACGGGTCCTTGGCCGAATCTGCAGCTCTTCCTAGCGAAGAAGGAGGGTGGTGAATGGTTGTCGTCGAACGATCCTGTCGTGATAAGTACACGAAGTGGAACTACTACATGTATTCCTGAGCAAGTGCGTGAACTGCTGCACCAACAAATCGACCCAGGGGCAGAAGTAGGCGAATTATTTGGAACTGCTCCGCCGATGGTGATCCACGTGCTGGTAAGGCTACCAGTTCCGCACACCCCGCTGCAGCCACAACTTGCTCGTGATTATGCGCAGGTAGTGCAGCCACAAGATTTTCATAAGCCGAGGTGGAAAACACAGGTCGACTCGACGTTTTCACTAACTGAGGGGTCGCTGTATTTTGTCAACCGAGAGCAAGCCGTGACAGACCTCTGCCAGGTTCACCGTGAAGTGTTTCTCGGCTCAAAAAACAGCCACCGTGAAGACGCGTGGCCCATTGCTCTAGCGGACAATGAGCTCGGACTTGGGAAGAGTCGATTTGGAAAGCAGTATATTCGACGTTGTCGCGAGGAATGGCCCGAAACAGTCCCTGCTGGTGGAGGATTTAAGGAATCGTTGTGCAAATGCCAGACGATTATGGTGGAGATCGATTGGGAGATTTTCGTGGAGGCCTCGGAAATGCGCGGGCGTCACACTTTAGCTTATGCGCTGAAGAAGGCCATGGATGAAAGTATTGCGCGGGCTGTGATTAACAAGGACCTATTGGAGCTGCCCGATGGAGCACAGATGCCAGAGTACTTAACCTCACACGAAGCGGGCGCCAGTGGAAATCTCGTCGACAAAATAGTGCGAGATTTTGGACCGGTGTTTATTGTCCTCGACGAGATTGGGCGAGGCTTCGAGGCTGCCACAGGCGATGGCACTGACATGAATGCGGAAGAGAAGGCGCGCAATCTTTTTTTGGCCTTTTGCTCGACAGTTTTGCAGAGCTGGATGAGCACACGAGGGGTCTTCTTCCTGCTACTAGGCTACGCGCCATTTCTTCGGAATGTGGGGGAGCGCAAAGACTGCAAACAACATGCCTCAAGTAAATTTAAGTTTGTTCGTCTGAGCTTGCACCTGATCCGCCCAAACAAGATCACGGAAATCATCAAGAGGACGCGGGTGGACGATTCAAGAGTGGAGACTGTGCAGCATCGATGGAATCTTGTTTCGGACGAGGATTTGGACAAAGCTGCTCTTCAGATGTACAGGAAAACCTGTGGCCACCCACGCACGATGCTCCGCATGTTAAAAAAATTTCCGTGCTATCAAGCTTTTTGCAATGCGGCAGTGAATTGTTTCGAATTAAAAGATGATGACAAAGAGTGGGTAAAAGTCAACCGCGAGCTGCACTATTGGCAGCCGATTCTGCAACACCTGCTGCCATCTATTCTCGGTAAGGACAACATTGACCTGAGCATCGATTACGAGTGGCCACCAGAAAGTCGCAGCTATAAGAAAGTTCCAGTCGCCAGAGTCATGGAACGCTGCCATATAGGATGGGAAGGCGAAATCACTCGAGCCAAGGTATACGCGCTACCAAGAATTCTTGCTGCGATAGCCAGCATCGTTCAGCCGCTACGGAAATACATCATGACTATAGACAAAATAGTTGACCAAGTCACACTGGCTTATGCGACCGTACTGGAGTGGGCGTTTCTCAAGCGGTTCCAAGAGCTCTTTTCACAGCCATGCCAACCCAACAGTGCCCTGCCCAGTTTTTTTGGCGTGGACACAGTGTTTGGTAAGTGGCCGGAGGTTCAATTCCCGACAGACCACTTGGCTATACCAAAAATTACCAAAGCGAAAAAGAGCAGCAATATTCCTACGCTTGACTCGCCAACTGCGAATCCTCGCGAATGGCGGCATTTGATGGATGAAATTGGGACAAGGCTGGAGTCGAGCTCGAACAATTGTTTGTGTCTTAAGCCGCTCTCTGAGTCCTCATCTGCGGACGTGATTTTCATGCGAAGTTCTACAAGAGTTGTTGGCAAAAAGCGATCTCTTGATATCCAAACGCTAACGGTGGGGCTGGCAGTAAAGAATTACAGCACAACTCCATTTGGACCGAAGGATCTGGACGACGAGTGCATAAAGTTCACTGCGATGTTTAAGAACATGGAGTCGTCGACCAAGACAAAGTTTGGTGATATGACTAACGTGCTGTTTGTCTGTGCGACAAACTATTGCCGTAGTCTTCAGAATAAGTTTCACGGCAAGAAATACTCGAAGCACCGTCAGAACGATTATCCTATCCACGTAGTGCTGCTGGACTTAACGACGCCTGAAAATCGCACTGAATTCTTCGGACTGTCGGGTGACGAAGGGTTGGCCAACGTTTTAAATGGATTAATCAACAAAACGGAGCGCGAGAGGTTGGTTGATGGAAGCTAGTGCGTACTTGCACACCAGAATGCTTGTCTTCGCTTGGCTATGATCGACCTGGCGATGGAGTTCAGATTACGGTCGACATACCGCTCATGCTCATCTCGTCGGCGCTAGGAAACCGTATCTTGTAAGGCTATTCTCAGTCTAAAATGACGTCGTAGGTACATTTCACAGATTTGCACCTCCTTTAGCGCTAACGCAACCGGACACGAACACAATATCATGAGCAAGTTGCGTCCTACTCTACCGCTTGCCTTTCTTCTTGGAGCCGTGATGCAAGTTCGCGTCATCCAAGAAGCCATTATCTTCCAGTACTTGTCGAGCGCTAGCGTTGATGTGCTTGAAGCGATCTGGACCAAGTTTAATCCCGCCGTACCAACGCGTCACCACTACAGCCACGTTCTCAGCTTTGAGCAGTTCTAGCAAATTCGACAGTTTACTTCCAGCTCCGTGTTCGCCGTCCTCGTCGTTGTCTTTGACAGTGAACTCGCCGATGATTCGATACGCCAACATGTTGTGGATCGCGCGCTCAACCTTGCGATCGTCCAGTAGCAGAGCGAGGAAAGAGCGAACGTCCTCAACACATTTGACGGGGCACGCATGAGCGATAAAAGTGCTTTTTCGGTCTACGATCGCTGTGCCGTGGACAATTAGCGGTGCAATCGCCGCCTCACGCTCGACATCGCGCACAAGTTGCGCTGTGCGGACACGAGGTCGCAGAGTTTGGGAATCGGCTTCGAAATACTCCACAGCATCAAGTTGGACTTGGACTGCAATTCCCTCTTCGTCACTGTCCTCACGGGCGTCTATTTGAGTGGAATTGAGCTCAGCGTTGGCGTATTTCTCCCTCACATCTTCGATCCACTCGTAGAGACACACTTGACGACTCGCTCGCTCGAAGATAGCAGTCTGTGTCATCAAAAATGATACGAATTATTAGATGGTAGTAATACATTTACATACCAAACGTACCAGGTTCTCTAGGATTTCATCTCTCTGGGCATTTGTCAGGCCGAAAGACTCGTACACTTCTGCGATTGGAGCGTCTGTGGACGGGTATCCTCGAGGCAAATGCACTAACAGGACGATGGCATGAGGGCCGGGCACTGAGATGGTGAAGGATCTCGCCACACCCGGTTGGTCCAAGTCACTCTTGAGCTGGATCTCGTCCTCGAAAATGGACTTCAAAAAGGCAGATATCAATTTTAATGCCCCTACCTGATCGTCAATAACGGGGAAGCTACCTGTAAAACTTCGATCTCCTCGCTCTGAATCAACGCAAAATGCCGCAAATTGCACACACTTGTCGTAATGAGACAGATTACACATATATCCAGATACAAAACCCTCTATTCTTGCAGCATGAGACCCGCATCTCTGCGTCGACGAGCAGCGTACCTGGAGCTCCGCGTTGTCCTCCATGACTAGCAAAACAGACACTAATGGTTTTTGTCCAATGTGGTGGCTCTATTTCAACATTTAAGCCAATCGTTATCAGAGTAAAACCCTCCCAGCTACCAGTCACTACCTCGACCATGGAGACTAAGCGCAGTGCCGAGCAACTGTCTCGCGATGCCCAGCGCAAGCGCCGCAAGCAGGCCAAAGCTGGGGCCAAAGACGGCGGCCAATGGAATCGTTGTATGTTCAGGGTGGTGCGGAAAAACCGCTACTGCAATATCTCCAGGTGAATAAACCCATGTATCACAACGTATCGAAATGATTGCATACTTTAGCTGACCATGGCTATCAACGCAGAGTGCCAGGCTCGCTCTTCTGCGGCAACCACCTTCCTGACTATGACGCAGTGGTGAGCAAAAAGTCTCAGAAGTTTAAAGCCGCTGCACGTCGCCGCGTGCCGTGTCCGGTGGACGCATCGCACACGGTCTACGAGTACGACTTGGCCAAGCACGTGCTGGTCTGCAACCGCGTCAAGGACGCTGACGCCATGAAGAAGCTTCCATACTATAGTCACAACATCAACTCTGGCTCACATTGCAGTAGCAAGGAAGACGATAAAGCAGCAGACGTGGGAGAACCAGGAGTGGAAAAAGACGAGGACGGAAATGAACACTCAGCTCCGTCAGCGCAAGAGCAACAAGGTATTATTGATAAACTGCAAGCTGTCGACTTTGCCGACTTGAGAAAACGCATTGAGACGGCGTATGCTTCGTGTGTTGGCGCATTGGCACTGGAAAAGCTGCACCACACATGCTGTGACCAGCTTTTTGAAGAGAAGAAGAAGGCTGGAGCTTCGAAGAGTGTGTTACGACACATTGAGCAACAAGCGTCGATTATCGGACACATGGAGAAGGTGAACTTATTAGAGAATCCGAATGCTGTATTCGTGGAGCTTGGAGCTGGAAGAGGAATGCTGTCGTTGGCGCTAGCGCAGATGTACCCAGACAGTCTGTACGTGCTGATCGATCGCGCGCACACGCGAGGCAAGGCTGATCGCTTTATTGGCGGCGATGAAGCTGCAAAGGAGAGATCGTCTACGCTGCGAGCAAAGATTGATATCCGCCACCTGAATTTTGCCGGTATGCAAGAGATTGTGAGCAAACCTGTGGTCTGCATGTCCAAGCATTTGTGCGGTGTAGCAACGGATCTGTCGCTACGAGCCATCGCACAAACACTGCCTGAACCCAAGAGTGATAAAGCTATTCTATTAGATAGCACAGTCAGCTCTAGCTTTCAGGGGTTGGCAATTGCGCTATGCTGCCATCACGTTTGTGCGTGGGAGGACTACGTGAACCCAGAATTCTTCCGGGCTCATGGCTTCAAGCCTGAAGAGTTTGAGCTGCTCACAAGTATGACTTCGTGGACTACTTGCGGGATGGGTCTCGAGGGTGACGCGGTGCAGCACATTCTCGGCATCAGGTACGTTCAAAGTATCCCAGTACCTATGAAGGTGTCGTTGTCTAACTGTTATGCGTTTGAAAACTATAGCAAAGACGAGCGTGCAGCTCTAGGACGACAATGCAAACGCATCATTGACGCTGGTCGTGCAGCGTACTTGGCGCAATTACAGCTGAAGACTCGACTTGTCCACTATTGCGACACCAAAGACAGTCTTGAAAACTGCCTGCTTCTTGCCTGGCGATAGGAAGCCTACCATTTAGCTTACGAAGTAGTAGTATATAGGCAAAGCTAGCCAAATGTCATTAACCTTGGCTCCCAACGTCGTAACTTACGACATAACGAAACTGCTATGTCGTAAGTTACGACATAATGAGACTTACATCTCAAGCAATACTTTAACCAAGTCATTTAAATCTAATAAGGTTCAAGAGGTAACTGGGGTAAATCCAGAAACAAGACAGGGAAAGGGGTGCAGAAAATCAGTTCCCACTGGATATTTTCCCGCGCCCAGCCACGGGACCTGTAAGACCACTCATTCCAGAATTTGCCCGATGGCGCGCATCCGGTTCAGCAAACGCGAAAGACCGCCGCCGTTGCCACCGTCGCTCGAGACATCGACTTTCGCCATTTCTGAAGGCAGCTGAAGGCAGTAGGCTGGACATCAAAAAGACCAAGCGGCCTCGCGAGAGAGTGGAGCTACACAAGCCCCGATGGAGCCAACGTGCTCATTGGCGAGAGCGCGCTAGTCGCACACGCTCTGAAGTCGGGATTGTTGGGCGAGAGTGAGAACGTAGACGACGTAGACATCGGAGACAAGGGCGTTGTGGATGAGAGTTCGGAGAGTAAGGAGGTGGGAGATGTGGAGGTGGCGGAAGCGTACAAAAAGACGGTAAGCGAATCTAGTGCTGCACTCACGTGTCCAGTACCAGCTACACAAGCCTCGATGGACGAGGCCATTCGAGTGTCGCAGATTGACACGAGCGCTCAGCTCTCTCAAGAAACGCTGAACGCGTTGTTCGGCTCGTCGAGCGAGTCGGACGATGAGCTCGATCAGTCAGTGGTGACAAGGGCATTCGTCACGCAGCTTAGCGACCTTCACGCTGATGAATCACATCGAGATGCGGCCGCAAGCTTGCATATGCTGTCGGAGGCGTCTGGGGTAGAGAGCAAGACAGAGCAAGATATTGTGCCAGCTACTGCAGACCGCGTCTTGCGGCCACGCGCTCATGTGAAGAAGTACATCAACTTCGTACCGGAGGACGAGAAGATGAGCTCCTACGAGAGTTTCAGCTCCGGTGAGAGCGACGGAGGAGCACTTGATGAAGACGAGATAGCAGAGCCTGCAGATCGCGGTGAACGTGATGCAGATGATGACGTCTTGTCTGAAGACGATGCTGTGTATATGGACGAAGCTTTCGTGGCTTCGCTCCAGATTGGTGGAAATGCGCTTGACAAGCGTGCTATAAAGCAGCGCGAGGAGCGATTACGTGCCATGGAGTGGACGCCTGTGTCATCGGTGTTTGAAGAAGACGTGGCCGCGTACTCGGGACTCAGTTATGAAGACGCTCATCCAGTTCGCGAGCTATGTGACCTCAGTGACTCCCCTATTCAAACCTTTTTCTACTTCATGCCCAAGTCACTGCGGGTCAATATTAACGTGGAGACTAATAGATACGGCCTTCAGCAAGTTGACAGACGTGCTCAGGCTATTCAAGCCAAGCAACTGCGAAGTCGTCGCGAGACAGTGAAGCAAATACGACGTCGCTTGAAGTCAAAGTCTGGCTACCAAACACACGAGATTCTGCACGTTATTGGGCTTCTTGTGGCACGGATGTTGTGTCCACAGAAGCGCCGCTTTGCAGCGCATTGGGCTATGGTCGAGAAGGTGCGGTTCCAGCAGGCACCTTTGGTCGTTTCATGGCTCGCAATCGATGCCAAGACATCATGGGCGACCTACACTTTGTTGACAACGAGGCCGAGCGAACACGTGACAAGCTATGGAAGCTCAGGCCTGTTGTCGACAAGATACAGCAACGATTTCTTACGGATGGTCTCTCCCAGCCGTTTTTTCGTTTGATGAAGGTGTTCTGCCTTCCACTTCAAATTGGAACACAACCCGCATGTTTATGCCGGACAAGCCTCACCGCTACGGGTCCAAGATGTCCATGGTCTGCGACTCAAGAACTGCTTATTGCCACAGGTACATTCACCTTTTTTATCTATGTCGTAACTTATGACGTGTTTTGCTAAATATAGCTGTTTATGTCGTAACTTTTTTAGTTTCGAAGTTTACGCTGGAAAACGCGATGTCAGTGACGGCGCTGACAACTCAGTTGATCATAAGACCGGTGCTGCAGCGGTCATTCGAAATCTAAAGATTGTGCTTGGAACGAACTCACGACACGCGTGGCATGCAGTAGTTGTCGACCGGTTCTACTCGTCCGTCTTACTTGCCATCGATCTTCTCGGCATGAGCATCTACGTAATTGGCACTGTCATTATCAACCGGTTGGGTTTGGATAAGACCATCGTTGAAAAGCGACAGTCGCGGCCAGCTAGGATCCCTCGTGGGTCCTTAATCTTCTCTCGGTCCATTGCGGTACCTAGCACGATCGCGTTTCACTGGTGGGACCGCAAGCCTGTGCACTACTTGTGCACAGGCTCTGTAATGACACCTTCGACAATCAACCGGAAAGTGAAGCAGGTGGGACCTATCACAGTACCGTGTCCGGCCGCTGTAACCGACTACCAGCGCTGGATGGGCGGAGTTGATGTGCACGATCAACTCCGCCTTCAAAATTACTCTCTACAACTGTCAACCAAGTTTAAAAAATACTACAAAAGCTTATTCTTAGGCTTTATCGATTTAGTATTGGTGAACTCTTACATTTCGCACAAGGAAGCTGCAACAATGAAGGGAACACCCATGATGACGCGCGGAGACTGGTTTGGCGTCCTCCAGAACCAGCTCCTTCAGCTAAAAGCTGGGGACTTCGCCGGTGTGGCTGTAACGCCACCACCCACTGGTCAGACTCGCAGGCGTGCACCTGTCAGTATTACGCACACGGTTCAGCAGTCTGAGGACTGGGTAACCGTCAGCGGAGTTCAGAAGCGTCGTCAAAGGTCTTGCAAGGTCTGCGCTCTTCTACGAATGGACAGAAAGAAGAATTCGTTTGCGACGACCTTCTTCTGCGAGCGCTGTTCCGTCGACGAAGCAAAATGCTGGCTGTGTAACAAGATCCGTCGTCAGTACAAGGGAACTGCAAAGACATGCTTCGAGATTTGGCACGACGACTTCGACTACGGTCAAGCCATTCCACGTACCTTGGGGAAGAGGGTCGTCTTGCGACGTCCAGGTCGGGAAGCTGGAGCACGAAAGAGAACGCGCCGGGAGCTACACCTTCGTGATGCTGCTGAAGACGTCGATAATGAGAATGAGAGCGAGCCGGAGTGATCCTGTCTGCAGACTTGCTGATGAGTGTTAGCATATGTCAAATCGTAATGCTTACTTCTTTGAATTGATGTAGCTTTTGATTTACCTTTTACTATCAAATAGGATTCAAAGGCGGCTCTTTGTACCATCTTCCACTGTCTCTGGTAGGAAGTTGCGACATTGAGTGCAATCTGGTGATTGGAAAGGTGTATAATTTACGACATTGCTAAAACAACCTGCTCAAACTTGATACACCTTCCCGCAAGTGGAAAGTCTAATGAATACAAATCACAAGTGACATGGTTATGTCGTATTATACGACATATATTTAAGCGTTTTCTATACACTTTTCCGGGAAGCAGGGGTTAATTGTCTTATGCGTCCCCTGATTTAAGGGCTTCAACGATGTGAATACCGTTCTCAATGTGCTGAAGTGTGACTTGATAAACCTCACGGTCAATATCGACACCTGGAAACAATGTCTTCAGTGATTCGAGACTCAGAGCTCTCTGTGGCTCCTCACTGAGTTTTTCCTTGAGAACGTTCTCCAGTAAACGTGGTCTAATTCTCCCGTTTGACACTACTGCACGCCCAGCAGACATCATCGTTTTTATCTCACTCGCCACATCCCAACAAAGTGCCACGACGCGATTCGCGAGCTCCGTGTTGACAGCTTTTTTGTAGCTGTCTTTGCTGACCTCATCGTAGGCGTCAAGCACGATAGCCAGCATCATGTTCATTAACACGAGACTGACAACGATCATGTAGATCCAATAAAAAGCCACGGAGAACTGGAGATCTTTTATCGACTCGAAGTCGAACACCCCAAAGAGCATGTTAATGCATGAAGCCATCGAGTTGTCGAGCGAGGAAAACTCGTTTGCTCGATCGCCAAAGATCATTGAGCCAATGATCGTGAACGTCAAGAAAATGACGATAAAGACGATGAAGAACGACGCAAATTGCTTCAATGCGCTCGCCACAGTGCGAGTGAGAATGTTGAGCTGCGGGTGGAACCGGAATCGATTGAGGATCTGCAGACCGATCAGCGCAATGATGACGGCGCCAACCACTCGAAGTGCCGAAGTGAGATCAGCGATCTGCTTTAGATTAGCGATGACAACGTTGAGAGATCGGATGTCGTCTTCGGTTCCGTTGACATCGAGAGCGTAAGGATCTGCGAGCTTCCAGAGGGAGTCTTGGAAATCATCGCCGTTTAGCAGAGTAGCAATACTAGCCCAGACTGCGTAGTACACGCACACAACAGCTTCAACGATGAAGAGACCGACGAGTTGGATGATCATACTGCGTCCAGATGGACGGTTCTCTTGCTTGCGCCACTCCAGAGCACTCGAGATCGCCCACCCTAGTGCCACAACCCACCAGATCCCAACTAGAATATCGTTGACGTATGAGCTTTTCTTCCCGTAAGGAATCGAAATTGTTGGTCTAGCTGAAGCCTTGGGCGAGATGTAGCCACCGGCGTGGAATACAAGCGTCAATTCCGTAACTACGTAGCCTTCGAGCTCTCCGTTGTACGTCAACACTGATGTCACGACTTTGTCCGTCGAGTTGTCGATCCAGTTCTGGTTCTTCCAGTCGGCGAGAGCTTTCAATGCCTCGGTTGCATTGAGACTGAAAACGAGTAAGTACGATTCGTATTCGCTGTCCAGACCTTCGTAGGCATGACACACAGGGTAGATCATGTAGAGAGACCCGTCAGCTCCACAGTCAACCGCTGACTTCTTGTAGACCTCAATTAGTACCCCACCAAGCCCCTTGTTGAACAAACCTATGCGAGCGTAGTCTTCTGACGGTAGCTCCACGCCATTCTGATCTTGTGTCACGAACACCGACGGCACAAAAGCATTGCCAAGCCAGTCAAACACGTCGCCGAGCTGGCCGATATTGTAGAACTTGATTGGTGTGGTTGGAGTCACAGTATCACCTCCAGATTGGGCTAGTATGGAGGACACTGCGTACGCTTGCTCGTACATACGTGATGTAGGGATATGTGTAAACAGCATGGCCGTAAAGAGACCAAAGTAGATAGCAGAGTAGATTATTCTTCCCACCGAACGCACGATCGATTTATCGTGAACGAGGGCTTCATGAGCAGCTTGGAAGGTGATTGTAGGCGGTGGCATCAACTCATAAGCTCTCCTTCCGTTTTCATACTCATCAATTCCGACGTCACCGATGGTTTCCGAAGGCCTGACGGTCTCCATGGCCGATGTTGGAGGTTTCACTTGTCCTGGAGTTCAAGAACCTAGCCGTTTTCATCATGGTTACATCTTCTTAAATGGCTGCTGCATCACCAATACTGCTACCGGTACTGTACCAGTAGTACTGGTCCGGTACACTGATTCCTCAAATATTTCTTATGACCTTAATTTTAATCTTTTATTTAGCAAAAGTACCTATAATATTTGCTGCCACTGTGGCACATTTTTTTCAAAATATGGCACGCTGTGGCATTTCCAATTTTGCTATGGGCGGCGACAAGGTCAGCAAGGGCACAAAGCGCCTCCATGAAGACGACGGAGACGCTCACAGGCGCGATGAGGGGGCCAATGTGCAGCCTTTGGACGTATTGTCCATGCAGCAGCTGCTGGAGTCCATGGGCGCCGACAAATTCGAGCCGCGCGTCGTGGCGCAGCTCCAGGAATTCGTTCACCGTGCGTCAAACCGGCAATTCTGAAAACGATTCTATATTGATTAATGTATTGGTTATTGATGTGGCGCAGGTTACGTGACAGAGATCCTCGTGGACGCTCAGGAGTACTCCATGTACGCGGACAAACAGGTTAGAGAGGCACTGAACGCATTTCCAGCTCTTAAACTAAAGACAAATGCGTAACTCTTGTCATTTTCTTCCTATTGACGCAGACAATCGACGCGGACGATATCCGGTTGGCTATTTCGTCGCGATTGAATCACCACTATGCTCAAGTGCCGCCCCGGGAGGTGGGGACAGCATTTGTTAATATTATCAGATAGTCTGTATTGGAGACTTATAATATACTTCTTGTTGCTATTGTTGTAGCTGATGATGGAGTTGGCAGACAAGCGCAACAGTATCCCACTACCGCCGATCTCTAACGAGTATGGTGTGAGACTCCCGCCACTGCAATATCAATTGGTGACGAAGGAGAGTGATCGACACGAACCGGTATGTTGTCGGGAATGCAACACATGAAGCCTTCGACGCTGACTTTGTGTTGTTTTTTGTAGCAGAAAACACCGAACACACCTCGTCTAGGGGATACTTCGGGCTTGGGGGGTGGGCTGAGAGGAGAGGCAGCCAGGCCGCCCATTCATCCTCGCATCGAGGGCTCCCGCAACAAAAAGTATGCTCGCAGACCTATTCCTATCAACCTTAACTCGAACATGTAAGTGTTATAGCCTGATAGCAGCATCCACGTTAAGGAAAATCTCTTTTAATACCAAAAAATGGCGTACAATATCATTGATAAAATTAGCATCTCCTGTTTTCAGCGTTTGGAGCTCTATTTCCAATATCGCCATGCCGATTCCTCGCTCAGCATCTATGATCCCGGCCTTGCGACGATCGCGTTCAGCTTCAATGAGCTCGCTAGCTCAAGTGGATCTGAGCACACTTGAGACTGACGTTGTTCTGGTTAGACGTGTATCCATGTTTGCTAAACTTTTGGGTCAGCTCCTTACTTTTGACGAGATACAGGATTATGCGAGAAAAGTGATGCACCTCCAGCCGCAACCGGCAACACCAGCGGTGAGAAAAACTTTGCAGACGTATTTGAATTAAAAAAAATCATAAACTCATGGTTCTCTCTATAGGAAAAGCTGCAAATGCTTTTCGCGTTATCCCAAAAGTTGATGAAGTACGACCCGACTAATGCCATTTAGTAATTGCGATCTGAGAAGCTTACAATGTTCCTTTTCGTCAGGTGGTTCCTCGAAGACCGTGAACGAGTCCAAAAGCGTACGTATGGAACTTCTGGAAGCCTTTTTTTGGCTTGCTAACTCACAATCACTGCTTTAGAATACAAAAGCTCGAGTCTAAATACCTCGAGCCAAACCGAGGCGCCACTATCACCATTGTACGTCAACTATTCCATTTCATTAGCAGTTCGGTAGAATCCAACCACGATCTGATCCCCAGACATATCCAGCAAGTTGAACCGCGATGTTCCGGTACCCATCAGACCAAAGGAACTGAAAATCCCAGCGTGGCGTCGCGAATACTGGCGTCTGCTGTAGCTCCAGTTGCAGTCTCTACATGTAGTAGTAGGCCTACTGCTGCTATTGATACTCCAGACAACCTCGTAGTCCACGCACAAACTTCGCCTACCCAACCAGCAGAGATTCCAACAACACCAGCTCAATCGAGTCAAGAGTCCGAGCAGCAACACGTTGCGGAGGATGAACCATCCAGTCTATCAATACCAGTGACACTACTACCTGCCGAACCACTACGACAACAAGCCACCCAGTACCAGCAACCTGATGCTCTTCAAGTATATATGCAGGTTCAACGCTCTGTTATCTGCATGCAAAAGTACATTCGGGGATTCACAGTACGTTCCATTGCAATCCACACTCAACAACTCGAGAAAATGGCTTATCGTCCTTGTACTTTTAGGCACGGAGAAGATTCTTTAAAGCACTTGAGGAGTTGCTACAGGGTCGCGCGTAGAATAGCGAATTTAACAGCACTCCTTCACAACCTCAAGCTTGAGATGGGATCATCAAAAATGCAAAAAGGGTATTGCTGGCGTCTATAGTCTGTCCTCGATACTCCACCCCAGCTACGGTGCATCACCGCAAAAACTGGACTCGCTCCAGAATGGCGTCTGTGTCGCGGGGTACTTGCATGGACGTAAAGCCCCCACGTGCCACAGCAGCATCCACAGCGGAGCGACCAATGTTCTCATCGACCATCAGGTCCACAAGTAGTAGATCGTCTTCCGGCGTCCACACACCTGATGGCGAAGCTCCATTCAATAATTTTCTCGCCATGTCGACATCTCCGCTGCAATAATACAGAGCATGCACAACCGCAGGCATCTGCTGATGCGTCTCGAGCTGGAGCAGGCAAATGATTTCATCCGTTTGCTCCTCCGTTGCGCGTTGCACGTCCACTCGACTGGTTTGTAGTAGCTCCGTCTGGCCACTACTGCTAACAGAGTCTTCTTGAGGCTGGATTTCTGGTTCCTCGCTTTCTCTGGCCACGCTGCTTTCACGTCTCTGATGAGCGCCTTCCAGCATTGAGGTGTAGAATAAAGCCTGTAGACGCGCTCTTTTACTGGGATCGGCTGCAATCTCTGCAAACGCGCTTCGGAAATAGACGCCATGGGCTTTGTTCGTCTCGTCGGCATTCTCTTCATCTTCGCTCTCATCTGGACTCGATTCAACGACAATAGCACGTGACTTTCTCTTGCGTTTCTGTTGAGCTCTTTCCCCAGGTTGGGGACGTGGTGGCGAGCTCGTAGCAGGGGTAGAAGGAGCTCTCTGGGGAGTTCTAGATCCTGTAGAAGCCGGCGTCTTTGGAGCTGAAGGGGATCGTGACGTCCTCGCTCCAGTTTCTTCTATCTCATCTTGCTCTTGTTGTTGTTGTAGTCGTGTTCGAATTATTTCCTGTAGATTTATATAGAGCAAGCTGCCAGTAAGTTGTGCACACCTACTGCTTTCTAATTGTTGCCGTACCGAGGCTCTTGCCATGATGTCGCGCTGTTCCTTGGGTGTTTTGGTTCGCAGCTGCTTCTTGAAGTGCTCGTGCATGCTCTGCCACGTGTGGTTCGTCACGTGCTCGTTCTCTGCGGCCTTCCAGACACTCGCCGGTACCGACTTCATCGATTGCCAGCCGCGCTGGTTGGCGAAGTGCAGCAGCCGCGCGTCGTCCTCCACCGAGTATTTAACTCGCCCTTTGCGATGAAGTTGAGTCGGTTTAGAGGTGAATACGATGCCCGAGTATTTTGCAGGATCATGTAGCTTCCCAGAGGCAACTGAGTCCTTGATGAAGGCGGTGGAGACCCACTCAGGACGTTGCGAGTTTAGTTTGTCGTAGTCTACGAGCTCGGTGGCGCCTGCGGGTGATGAGGAAACGATCCCGCCATGCTGCTCGATGAGACGCTGCACTTCAGCGACGTCGTCGCGGGAGAGCGTCCGCGTGAGGAAGAACTTGAGGCCGTCGAATAGCATTTTCTAGGGTTTGCTAGGGTTTGAGCCGGTGCTAGGGCTTGCTTGCAGAAAACTATATTTTTAGATTTAAAATTTTTCAAGTTTTTAGCAATCAAATTCAACGGACACAAAAGTTTTTGATTTAGATCTAGCTGACATCTAATCATTTTAAATACTTTTGTTATCATTTCGAAGAGACGCAAGAAGGATGTGGGCAAGCTGCGACACACCACGAGTCAAGGTTGTGACTCTAGTCGTGACTGTGGGTAGAACACCGCGACACGAACCCAGCGTTAACTTATTGGTATGTGCAGTCCTTTCATGTGGACTTCCTGGCGGAAGCGATCTACGAGCCACGAGATGCCTTCGTATACGCAGCGTCACTCAACCAAGTGGAAGTAGTGAGGCGTTGGTCCGTAGTCTTGCTGGTCTACAAAGTTTGTTGTGCGATCCTTATTGGGTGATAATCGCTGCTGTAAAGGATCGGGAAAAGGTTGAATATTAACGAGCTGGACAAAGACGGCAGCCACGCGCTGTTTTCGGCTGCTCAGAACGAGAGTCTCGCGGTGCTTGAGCTACTTCTAACAAATGGAGCTAATGTGAATCAGCAGCAAGCAAATGTATGAGCGAGTTTCTTGAGCTACTGGGACGGCCCTTATTGAATATTATGAAAATGTCCCCAACAGGGCAGGACCGCGCTTCACGCAGCTTGTACGTGGGGAAAATATGAAGCTGCACGGCTGCTACTGGCGCATCAAGCAAGCACCAGCTCATGCGATAGCGACGTAAGCACTGTGTCATTATAGTACACTTCAAGTACTGAAGTAGTTGGCAAGCTATTACCAACAATGAATTGCTACTCTGTTGTAAGTAGGGCCAAGCGCCACTTCATTGTGCTTGTCGCAATGGACACGTCTTTCTCGTTCAGCTATTGCTTGATTCGGGGGTAGACCCCTTCGTGGTCGACGATTTTGGTGCCACACAATTTGACGTCGCTCGAGATTGGCGGCGCTTGGACATTCTTGAAATGCTTGCAGGTAAGACAAACAACTATGGAGGCATCGTCTCTAATAAAAAGCTTACGCATTTTATTGCTCTGCTGGAATGACTTTTAGATTATCAAGCTTCTGAATTCCTTGAAGCGAACCGGCAACGTGTGAAGGTGTTAACGGAATGTCTCAGCAACCAAGTAGAGCTCCCTAAGGGGGTTCTAGACATCATAATCAACCATCTGTGCTAACGTTAAAAACATAATTACTTTACTCTATTAACTGTACCAAGTTGAAGTAATGACGTTATGCGCCTTCTTTTTGTCAATTTCCGTATGCTTAGGATGTTTTCCGACGGCGGACCTTTTAGACCAACGAACGTGCCGATCTTCCCGTCTAAACTGATTCACTTGGATCTAGTATGCTCAATTGCTTACACCCCTGATTCGCGTCAGTTGGGAATTTGAGTGAAACACGAAGGATGGTGTCAGACGACACGGAGAAGAAGCTGGAGATGTCGCTGGACGAGATTGCGCAGGAGCGCAAGGCCGAGGCAGCTGCGGCTGCCAATGCTAGCGCCACCGGCGGCAAGGCCAAGAGCACGTGGGTGGAGGAGTGACGTGGCTCTGTGGTGGGGGGTGGAGACTGATTGGTGCTGCGCTGTTGGGCAGGAAACGCGCCGAGCGCATTGCGCAGTCGAGTCCGTACCAAGCTCGACATGTTCGTAACGGTACGGCGACCGAGGAGGAAGTACCGTGAAAAACAGGGATTTGAAGTGTTGAGGTTATGTAGGCGAAGAGGAGGACGTCGAGATGGAGCAGACCTCGTCTGTGGGAAGCCGCGTGTACGTTGGCAACTTGTCCTGGAGTATCAAGGGGCAGGACCTGAAGGACCACATGCAGGCAGCAGGACCCGTGGATCTCGCCACGGTGCTGGAATGGAATGGCCGCTCGAAGGTGCGATAGGAAGAGCGCTGTTGTAAACGAATACAGTATTGACGGTATACTGCGGATTGTAGGGATGTGGTATCGTCACGTACGCGACGGAGGAGGCGGCACAGAATGCCATTGCCACGCTGAATGACACGGAACTGGGCGGACGCAAGATCTTCGTCCGTGAAGACCGCGAGGCACAGCCAACTGCGACTACCAAGCCCAAGCGCGGCTACCGTGTGTATGTGGGCAATCTGTCGTGGAACGTCAAGTGGCAAGAGCTTAAGGACCACATGAAGACGGCAGGCACGGTGGTTCATGCTGATGGTAAAGCTAGATTTTTTTTATACCTGTCTGTGGGAATCTCATAATTTACTTACGCTTTTTATTTTACCAGTTCTGGAATTGGCGAACGGCCGCTCGAAGGGCTGTGGCCTGGTGGAGTACGCCACGGAGGATGAAGCTGCGAAGGCCATTGCCGAGCTGAACAACACGGAACTGGAAGGTCGACTCATCTTTGTCCGTGAGGACAGAGAACCTGAAGGTGGCAGCATCTCCAAGTTCGCTAAGCGTGCTTCTGCACCTCGTGGAAACGGTGAAGGTCGCCAGCTTTACGTCGGCAACGTGAGTCCTTGTAGGATTGGATGTGTCGAGTCGAATGTGCTCTATTAACCGCTTTTAATCATGTGTGTAGTTGCCGTGGGACACCAACTGGCAGCAGCTCAAGGACCTGTTCCGAACTGTGGGTGACGTGGAGCGTGCTGACATCGCCGAGTACCCTGACGGCCGCTCGCGTGGTTTCGGTATCATTCGCTACACGAACGCTGTCGACGCATTGCAAGCTATTGGTAAGTAATTTATTTGGAGGTGGAATGATTTTTCTTATGAACTAACAATAATTTTTTTATTTTAATGCAGAGCGCTTGCACGGTTTGGAAATAGAAGGCCGGCTGATCGAGGTGCGCTTGGACAAGAGGGAGTAGACATTCCACCGCCCAAGAGCTCACGGGGAATAAGTTGTGCAGATTGTGCAAATGTGCTAACTTCAAAAATGATGCCTAAAAAACTTGAAGGTGCTGGTGCTTTATACTGTAGTATTTTTTTACCACAATACTTGTGTTCCATGACGACATCACGGTGTTTCAGTTGCTTAACGTGGAAGTGATGGCCGACCTCAATGCGTCAATGAGTTTCTGGATCTCCATCAACTTTGGATCGTTCTGGTCCTGACCTGACGTCATCTTGCCTAAACTGTTTGCAGCATCGTCCAGTGGCTGGCGTAGCTGGCTGAAAGCACACATTAAAAACAGCATCAGCCTAGACACTACAGCAATACTGCATCAATATCGTCCTCACACTAAGATTTCCGATGCACCTGACTCGAGAGTATCTGTAAGCGTCATCAATCGTTAATGCTCCCATCAACAATTTATATTCCGGACTACACGCACCCGATGCCACAGTCGGCGGCCGAACAACTTCCTTCGTGTCAATGTTGCTCTTTTTCACGTTTTCGTTCATCGTGTCGTATCCGCTGGTAAACGTACTCAACGACACATCGACTGGAATCTGCTGTGAGTCTTTCACTATACAGTCCATTGGGTTGGCGGACGACAGGACATCAGAGTGAGATACTTTCGTCTCAGCTTGGTACCCCGTTGTGAACACGCTCAGAGACGATGCTACTGGTTCACTCTCAAGACCCTTATCCGAGCGAACCTGATGGGAATCCCCACCGGAGACAACAAATCCGCTGGTAAACGAGCTGAGTGAAACATCAACTTCCACTTCGTTCGGCCGTTGGTTTCCTTCATCGCTTTTTTCATTTTTCTTGATTTGTGAGCCGTATCCGTTAATATGCACACTCAATGAGTCAGCCACACCCACATCTACTGGGAATGAGTTTAAGACTCCCTCGTTGTTGAGTTTTCGCAGCGCTTGCGATACCAAATCGTCAGTCAACTTGCCAACATCTTCGCTACTGGAAACATCGGATTTCTTTACTGGAGCTGGTGTCGATCCTTCAGTATCGCTGCTAGTGACAATGGACTTTACCACCTCGGGTGATCTGTCAATGTTAACGTCAGAAATAGTCTGTAAAGTCTCTTGAGCTGGAAGGCTTTCGGCGTCACTATTGGAAGTGCTGGGCCTTTCCACGTGAGATGACTTTGAGCTGCCAGCATCACAGGCGGAAACGGTGGAGTTCCCCACTTGGGATACTGGAGAGCTACTCGCTTCGGAGGCTTCGCTGCCATCTGCATCTTGTCGTGGTTTGAGGGGTGAAGAGAATCCAATCCGTGCCTGCGTTGATGCCGCTTCTGTGACTGACTTCAGCAGCCCTAGCTGACTCAATCTGGTATTCATGGCTGCCACTGCATTTGCCGTGTCAACCTGCTTTTTTCGTTTCTCCAATTGCTCGCGTTCAAGAGCTAAAGAGCTGGACATGTTGGTGTTGGTGTCTAGTACCTTGACTGACAAGTTCATCAGTTCATCTTTATCTTGCATAACTGGTAAGCCACCCGTTAGAACTGCGTTCCCGTGGTTGGTCTGCTGAATGCTTAATGTGCTGACCTCGATGTCAACTCTCGAGACATTTGGCACCAAAGCAGCTTCGTCACTCACGTGAATAGTTGGCTTCGCAGTCGCTCTTGTTCGCATCCACTCCTCCATCGGAATAGCCGCCATGGGTCCAGGTACAGCTATTGCGTTCCCTTTCCACGCGTCTTTACCGATAATGACTGGGAATCCACTCGCACATATTTGTCCCCCATTGCTTGCTCGATCTAATTCATTTTTGAAGGCATCAGCCTTAGATGGCGACGAAGCAACCTCGTCTACTACGTGAATAGTTGGCTTCGCAGTCGTTCTTGTATGCATCCACTTCTCCATCGGGATGGCTGCCATGGGTCCAGGTACAGCTATTACGTTCCCTTTCCACGCATCTTTACCGGGCATGACTGGGAATCCACCCGCACATATTTGTTCGTCGTTGTTTGTTCGATCTAATTCCTTTTTGAAAGCATCAGCTTTAGATGGAGACGTAGCAACCTCGTCTACTACGAAAATAGTCGGCTTTGCAGTCGTTCTTGTGTGCATCCATTTCTCCATTGGGATAGCTGCCGTGGGTCCAGGCACAGCTATCGCGTTCCCCTTCCACTTACCGGTAGGAGACCTCTTTGGGGTGCTCTTTGGTGCCGCAACACCCACCTCAGCTATTTTAGATACAACAGGACTATTGTGGCTATCCTCTGTTACACCCCTTAAGCCAGCATTGGAGGGCCCTGAAACTGGGGGCGCTGGAGGGGGCAACGCAATTGCCTGGTGATCAGTATCTGTGGCAGGAGAGGGAGCTGGAATCAATCGCTGGGCTTCCGTCACACGTGGCAGTTTTGCTTTGATCTCGGTTTGAATATCATCAGCAAGTCGCCACACAAATACGCAGCCATCACTGCTAGCAGACAATAAGCGACGACAATCTGGTGTGAACTTTAGCGCCGTAATCGCTTCGCTATGACCGGTGCCGGTAGCTAATGTGTCCCCGGTCTTCATGTCGATTACATGGATAGTTTTTTCTGCCATTGAGCCGCTCATCGCAACGCAATAATTTGCAGGACAGACAGCAATGTGATGCTGCTCTCCTACCACATGCGTCAGCTGTTGCTTCCCAGTACTGGCGTTTAGCACCTCTAATTTATTGTTGCAGCACGCCACAACAGTATCACTATCAGGCTGCAAAACTGTATCAAACACTTTGCCCTCAGTTAATGGGAGCACTTTGGACTGCATCACTTTGCCTTTTGCATCAACTTTAGACACCGAAACAGCATTGTCGGTCCCACAACTCTGCAAGATCTTTCCATCACGAGAAAGCGACACAGTCATCACAGCAGCCGAATGACTTTCCAATGTGCTGATGACAGCATGACCCCGTTGGCAATCGTACAACTGGATTAATCGATCTTTCCCTCCCGAAGCCATGAATATCGCCCCATCATCGTTCATACTGCTGTATGCAAGACAATTCACCTGTGAGCTGTGAGCTCCAATTCGTATTACGGGTTTCTCGAGAGGCACAGGCATCACAACAATGTTTCCTTCTCGATCCCCAGCAGCAATTTCCTTCAGGTCTGGACGAATAGCTAGCGTTCTAAGTCCTTTGTTCAGACCGTGATTCTTTGTCGGTGAGTGTGCACTCGTGCTGGAATCGTGAGAGCATGTCCCTCCTAGAACGGCGCACTGCGCATCTTTGAAATTGTTCTCAAGGTCGTTGTAAATAATCCGTAACATTTCCTGGCTGTATGGATTTTTCCAGAACCCGAGCTCTGACCGTTCATCGCTTGGCTTGAAGCGACTTGACTTTGCCGGTCGTCGATGTAATTCCAAATTCCACAGACGAACAGTATTATCATCTGAGCAAGTCACAAACGTTCCAGTAGGTAGGATTTTTGTAGCTACTCCACCTGCTACTCCACTGTCGTAGAATGCTATTTTCCCTTTTGCATTGATACCACGTACAAGCCCAGCGACTTGCAAGTCTCGAATTCCTCCACTATGATACAAAAACGAGAGTTCAAGAGTGACAGCATCAAGATTGGTCGTACCATAGATGAAAATGCTTCGATCGCTATAAAACACAATCACATGGGAGCCTGTAATTCGAGTAGCCATCACTGCCGCGTATCGAAATGGTTCAGCTGGATACAGGACACTCGGTGACGCAGGAGTAAGCTTCGATGGTTCATTGGCGGCACCAAACGCAGGCGGAAAGGGTAACGTGGCACGGTATTCGAGTGTCGAAGGATTAAACAACCTTACAACTCCACTCGATCCACCCACCGCCACATACGCTTCCGTTACCGAGATAGCGTTCCCACAATTCGACTCCAACGATACCAGTCGTTCCATGATACCAGAAGCGCCAAAGCAGCATAGTGTTCCGTCCAAAGTTACCGCAAATGTCTTCAACTCACAGCTCCCATGTCCACACCCCACTCCCGTAAACGTTGCTGACGTCTTTGCATTCACCACAGCATCTCGATGTTGCAGCTCAGGCAAGTCGTTCACACGAAGCCCAGTGCTTAGAAACGCTCCATTATCATCCAAGAACCAGTACTACATGCCACACAATATAAATTAATACGAAAATACTATAACTAGTTCTTATATTCAATCTCACCTTGAAATGTTTCTCTCCAACGGTGACGAAGAAGTTACCGGCCTGGCAATAGTCTGCGTCATAGATCCTGTCTTCCACGAAGGCGCAGCCCACTGCAGCGACCTCGAGTCGTCGTACTGCATCCTTCATTTTGAGCTTAAGTTCCCAGGCGTACAAATGCTGATCGTGTACGAGCCCAGCAGACAGTAGGAAGCGTCCGTCCTGACTGAAGGCCATACAAGCCACGCCGTACTGATGACGCTGCAACTCGGCACAGAGCGTGCCGTCTGTGCCATCCCAGATAGTGATAGCTGGTAGATAACCTTTCTCTCCAATAGCGAGGAATTGGCCGTTGGGCGAGAAGCACAGACATGAGACGCTCTTGTCCACGCGGTAGTACCGCACCTGCTTGTTGCGTCGCAAGTTGTAGATCACCACAATGCAGCCCGCAGCATAAGCCAGTTCGCCAGAGACCGGATTCACCGCCACCTGCGCATTACTAAGCGCTGTGAGACCCAATACACGCTCCAGGATGAGCCGCGAGCGCGGAGGCGGCAGCACGGCGTCGGCCATTGCGGACACTTGCAGAGTGAAGGTCAGATCAGCGACGTTTCGCGGCACTCGAGCTGCGATTGGTTAAAACTGATAATGTCACTTCATCGAGGGGAAACGTCACTAACTTACCCATCTCGTAAAACGACACCGGTAATAATCAGCAGTGCACGACCGACGTGATGTTGCCTCTGTACAAGCGCGCTATGCGCCACGTGTGGGTGCCGTATCGCCGACTGCGGCGTGGCGCAGTGCTGGGCGGCGTGGTGGCAATGCTGCTGCTGTTCCTTCTGTTCTCTTCGCTGTCTCCAGAGGCCCCAGCGCCGTCTCCTGTCACTGTGACACCGACTGAGGTTGTCCAGCCGCAACTTATGGACACTCCGGCGCCGGTCGAGGCGGGTGGAGGTATCGACATGGATGAAAATGTGGTAACAGATAAAGGAGTCGACGTGAATGCGGAAGAAGAAGCGGGTGGGGGCGTCGATATGGATGTGGAGGTAGCAGCGAACGAAGCGAAGGAAGTAGAGGAGCCTTCAGCTGTGCCGGTGGACGCGACGCCGGCGCCGCTCGTGCTACGACTACTGCTTCCGCTGATCGCTGGCTTCTGTTTTGGCTTCTTGGGCTCTGTACCTATCGCTGGCCCCACGTCCGCTATGGTGCTGAAGCTTGGCATCCAGGGAAAGTATAGCGCTGGATTGACGATTGCAGTGGGCGGGGCTATTTCGGAAGCGGTAAGAAACAAGCTGTTCAGACTCTTGAGCTAATACTGACTGAGTTATATTATGGTAGACGTACGCGGGTATTGCATTCTGGGGCTTCGGTAGCTTTCTAGCAGGTGCCAAGTTTCTGCTCCCGGTTTCAAAGTACGTGGACGGAGGAGAAGTAATTTATACGGACTCTACCTGACAATGTGGTGTGTTGTGGCAGAGTACTGGGAGCCATCATGTTCACACTCATCGGCCTGGTGTTTCTCAAGGCGGACATGAAGCCGTCGCTGGACCCTGACGTCGAAGCCTCTCATGGGAAGGGGGTGCGACGACCACAAGGTGAAGTGCTTAAAAACATCCTTATGGGCCTCACAATGTCCGGAATAAACCCGGCCCTGCTTGCATCCTACACGGGTGCCATTGCTTCAGGTACGCGCACTCTCTTTTAACCTATGTGGAAGAGGAGATTGCTCATCATTTGTGTATGTATTAAAGTGTACGGCACCGGAATGCTCGAGTTCACGTTATTCCTGGCTGTTGTGTTTGCAATGGGTGTTTGCTGCGGTGTTTCAACGTGGTTTTACCTGCTGCTCTCTCTACTGAAGAAGTACAAACAGGTTTGTGCTGCGAATTGGTACTGATGTGCTACGATAGAATCGCGCTAACTGGATATTTTATTCCGTGTGAAATAGCGTCTGAAAAATCACACCATTGATATGATTATGCGCGGTCTGGGCTGCTTCCTGCTGACGCTAGGCCTGCTGTGTGCAAAGTCATCGCTCGACTATTTCTTAGCAGCAACTCCAGAGGCCAAGTAGACGAGCGATTCGCTCTTGGACTTCAAATACTGGCAGTCAACAGATTGATTCATGGAAAACATAATTTACTATGTCTTGTGCAAAAGTGGTCGTAGTCTCCTAACGCAGTCGGAACTTGTCCTTGAGGCCTTGCAGCATTTCGAGGTCTTGTTCGGGTAAATCATCTGCGCCTTCCACCAGGTTGAACAGCTCGCGCACCTTTTCCGTTTGACGGTTCTCGAAGAAGTCGAGAATGAGCGACAAGCGCGTCGTTCGAGATAGCGCTGCCATAATGGCTACGGCAAATGTTGCTGACGCGGGTTCTTCTGCGTTTGTTTCCACAGATTTCTGACACCACGAGGCAACCAAAACTTCAACGATGTCTGCCATTAAATCCGAGTCGATGTCTGGCTTGAACATTTCGGCAAGGCGCTCAGGTGTGGTAAGTTGCAGATATCTGAGCACACGAAGTGAATACTACTGTTGCAGCTACTGTACAAGCGGAGTCGTACCTTAATTTTGCGTCGGTTGTCTTGAGATATCGTCTCCAGTTACGGCAGAAATCGACTGCGGCCGTAGGTGGTACATCAAGTGCTGGGGTTGCAGAGAAACAACGGTCATTCCCAGTTTTCTTCCAAGTGGATTTCTTCTTGTACGCGATGTTGGTCTGCCTGTCGGTCCTAGAGAAATCACGTAATTCCTTCTGTGAAATGGGTTTCAAATCGGCACACGCCACAAGGTTCTGGCCACAACAACACACGCTTAGCAGGTTATATATTGCGGAGAAACATTTGATCCCAACGCCACCTTAAAGTCATCGTAGTTGGCAGCAGTGTGGATGGCGCGTTTCTTCATACTATCTGTAAGCTTGTAGAGACGATCGTCTTCTAAAGCTTGAGCCAGTTCTTGCTGCAGTGCCGCTGTATCAAAGGCGCCATGCTCAATGGAAGTGAGTTGATCCGCAGTATTCTTCACCATTTTTAAATTACTGCGAGTGACGCTTCGAGGATCAAAAAGTATCTTGGTGTTCACCACATTGTTATCAGATATGGCTACATTCTGTGAAAAGACACATAAGAACGTCTTATGACATGCTATTCCGATCTAGTAACCGAGATGCCAGTGCTACTGGTAGCTTGCAAAAATAATCACGAGCGTGGAATTTAAAAAAGAACAAGCCACATGAGATCTCTGGAGTTCGCCATATTCACATCGACGCGAAGAACGAGAACGGATTGGATAATTGCCACCAATGGACCGTGGACGCAAAGCCATCCCCACGTTGAACAAGCACACTGACTCCAAGTACTACCAGCGGTGCCAAGAGATTCACCGATCCAAGCTCTTCACTATCAAGAGCTCGATCGACAACAGCGAACCACACCGCCCCACGCATCTGCGCAAGAATATGAAGAAGGAACAGATGAGGGAGGAGCGCTACGCTGAGATCGAGCGTGAGAACCGTATATTGCTGGAGAAGATGTCGACGATCATGCAAGGCGAGACGCTCGACAACAAGAACCAGTCCGTCGCGTACTCCCACAGTCTCAACAAGGGCCAGCGCAAGCGTGAACTGCAGAGAATCACGTCTGAGAACCAAGCGATCCTTCGTCGCATTCAGATGCGAGAACCCACGTACGATCACTTGCAATGGGAGGAAGATGCCAAGAAAAACGAGCGATACGCCGCCAACATCCGCGAGTTTCCATCCAGCGATAGTCAGGAACTGCTTGAAGAAATGCGAACCATGTCGGCATACTCGATGGGTGGAACAGGCAAGGATTACTACTAGGTATCCTTCCCTAAAATATACCAAAACTATCAGCATTTGTGTTTGTCCTGGCTACAACAGGTCGACTACGGCTTGCAAGATCGCCGAAATCTGGCACGTTGCCTTGCTCTCTCCAAACGCAGCCAATAGCTTGTCTCCCCACAGCTCCATAGCCTCGTATTCGTTCTCAACTTCAGCAAGTTGAGTCCTTGTATCTGCCAGAAAGCGTTGTAGGATGTCTCGAGCTTTACTGTCGCGTTCTTCGGATTGAGTCGAACGCGAAGACGGGCTTCTGTTGACGAATGACTGAATAGGTCGCATGCCAGCCACCAAGCGGTTTAACTGCAGTTGCAGCTCCACAAGCTCCACGCCCATAGCCTTCTCAAGATCACCTCGAAAGGACCTCAGCTTTTCGTCCACCTCGGACAAATATCCCGCTTTAAACAGCGATTTGTTATCGTCAAAGACTGAGAATGAGGTGGCACTTTGCTTCTTGAAAAACTGGTTACGTGAAGTTAAGCGTAGTTTAGTATCGCCATGATATTAACAAATCAAACAGCAACGCACCTGTTCCAGCGCCTCCATGAACGAGTAGTTGTCTACCAGATCACGGCAAGCCCGTTTCACGACAAGAACTCGCGATAATAATGTTGAGCGTGTACGAGCAAACTCCAACTTGTACAGGAACATGTCGATACGTTCCTGCATTCCTGGAACTTGAAAGAGCAGACAGAAAAAGCGCTCTGCTTTCCCCAGACTACTAATGGAGCCGTGGAAGCTTTGAAGGGCCTGCTTCTCCTTTGCAGTCGGGAAGAACCGCTGGAGACATCCCAGTAAAGCTGGCTTTACCACACGCTCGTCCATTGTTACGATGTCGTTCACAATCTTGTCATAGTGGTCGTGGATTTTAAAGCTAGCAAGCGCAAGAGCGAGATTGTTAGCTCGTTTTATCTCGATCAACTGAATATTCTTGGATCGGCCACGAGGCGAGGAAGCACGAGACTGTTTCGAAGCGAGGTATCACAAGCGAAGTAACCTTAGAATTCATTCTGGGGCATAAATGCTGTATCACACGACATACCTTCTCAAATGAGCCGCTGGTAACATCTTCATCAGCGTTTTCTAAAAACTTCTTGACGGGGCTCTTAGAATTAGAACGGGGAGAGGGCACTAGGACAGGCCGAGTAACTTATCACGAACGGTAAGTAAGTTATAAGCATATAATCCAGATCGACAATATTTACGTACCATCTTGAGCTTGCGGGGCCGCTATGTCGACCGAAAGCTTTAAACCTGTTCGGGTCTCGTACTTTGACGGCTCTAGACTGGCCACTACTCCGGGTTTCGCTGTATACAGTTCTGGAGCCAATGTTTGTGCATGTACTGCTTCAGTGGGGCGCATTAAGGTAGGCGTAGAGCAAGTGGATGCTGGAGAGCTGACAGGCGACACAAGTGCTGTTTGCGATTTCTGCTTCCGAACTTGCGTCAATCGAAGCCGAATAATTGCGTCTGGAGACAGCGTTTCTTGTCGGATAGTATCAGACTGCACTTCTCGGTGGATGTTGTCTTCGGCAGGTTTCTCCCATTGCGATACACCAGTAGTTTTATTCACATAGTACGGGTAGCCGTCTTCCGTATACACTGTGTCCCATTGCGACTCCAATTGAACGTGCTGCACTTGTTGAGGATATGAAGTAGCGTTTAGCTGGTGATACTGGCTCCATGTTGCTGGAGATCCTGCCGTAGCTGGTCTAGCTTCCGACCAATGAGCTTGCAATGGTTGCGCATACTCTGGAGCAGCATGTCTAGGAGTTTGAATATCGTATTGAAGTGGATAGCCACTGTCTTGATGATACTGATCCCATGACTGTCTGGGAGGATAATTCGAATCATTTTCTCTTGTTGCGTACTGATGATAAGGACGAAAATGGTCGCGATCAAGTCGTTCTGTCGCAACGAGTCGTTCGTTGTATCCAGAATACGCTCCGTAGCCGGGTAATTCCCTGGCGGATTGGTACGAGGTACCAGACCACGCTGGCGTGTATCCTCTCGGCGACAGCGAATGTGCACGTTGCTTTCTCGTCAATGCTTCTCGAATCTGCTCCGTTGGAGATAAAGGCAGCCGACTTGTAGCGCTTCCACTCATCGTATAACTCGACGACCGATGTCTCTCTGAATGAGTCTCGTACCTTTCGTCTTCATAGTCGATCCTCTTGCTTGGTAGTGTAGGTTTCCACACTTCAGTATGAGCGAATGCTGATGGAATTTCCTTATCGAATTCATCTTCAACTACTTTACCATTGTTGCGAAAAATAATTGCTGGATGGTCTTGCGTCGACCGTTCAAGCAGTGTCGACGCGGGTTCATTGCGAGTTATAGAGGAATTAGCCTCCTTCTCGTTCGTCAAGAAATATCTTGAAATGAGTTCGGCACATCTCTGCTGCTTTTCACGGACTGCTATGTCGTATGCAGTCTCCTTATGAACGTTGGTAGCGAAGACATTAGCTGCACTCTCTAGCAGCAGCTTCACGATGTCCTCATTTCCTGATAACGCAGCATAATGTAGCGCTGTGTCACCATCGTGATCTCCTGAGTTCAGCACCGAGTCCCCGCCAACATCCAGTAAATACGCCACGCAATCGAGATTTCCGTTTGCTACTGCACAATGTAGTGGAGTGCGTCCAAACTCCTCGACGACACAAATATCAGCTCCGTGGTGGAGAAGTAGCTGTAAACACGCCAAGTCACCATGCCGTGCAGCCACGTGTAGCGGTGCATCGTTGTTGGGGTCGATATGGTTAACGATCTCCGTATCCATATCACTCTTTGCAGCAGTCGAAAGTAGCAACCCAACGCAGTGTGCGTGCAAAGAATTGACTGCAACCTGCAGTGCAGTCTCTCCAAATTCCGGGTGAGGATCGTTTTTCGCTCTTCGTGAGAGACACAGCTCTACTAGTTCAGCATTTCCTAGTCGACATGCCAGCATCAACAGCGTATCTCCAGTTCCCCCTTCTAACAAGTCGATAGGACAGCCATCTTCCAAGCTCTCCAAGATATCGTCGAGTCTGTCGTTGCGAGCCAAATTGAAGATCCGATTTCTCCACGCTGCTATCATCCGCTTTGTTGGAGCTGTTGCGGTTGGCTTCCCACTCGACTTATATTCTTCTCCTCGGGAGGACAGTGCAGACTGTTTAAAGCTTTCAATCGTACGCGCTGACAACACACTAGCGTCCATCGATGACTCGGCTGGGAAGAGCAGATCGCGAAGGTTATTGACCCAAATTTGAGCTTCTTCCTTGCTGGCGGCCACCAAATCCAACGTCCTCGCTCGCATCACTAACGAAAAGCACTTTTCCTTCTCTTTTACCACGTTGCTCTCGGTTTGTGCAGCAAACGCCGCAGTTGAGTGACCTTCACGAATCTCCGTCACCAGTGCTAAGTCGACAGAACGCAAATTCTTCCTCTCCGCAGATGTCGGATCTCCCCAAATTATTTGCAAGTGCGGTGGGTCTGTCGCTCTCCTTACTGCAACCCATTGACGACGTGGCCCAGTGGACCGGCCTACCATGTTGTGTGTGTGGTAGGGGATTTTGAAGAACAGGCCGCCATTCAAAAGAGCGGCAGGGATTGACTTGGCGCTGAGAGGACTCTTGATAGTCAGCTGCGTACTTTGAGGTCTCGAGAAACCAGGTAATTGCAAAGGAGGGACCACTGCTGTTGGTATTGTCACCGTGTCCACAATCTTCAGTTGGAGATGTACTTGTCCAGCAGATAAAAGGACTGGTTCGTCACCATTGTCAGAGCTTTCATCGCTCCGAAACAAAGGATAATGCTGGTCATAGAACAAATCGCCGACTTTATCCAAGGCAACGTTGGCTTCCCCCACGAGAATCTTGCTACTGGTTTTCACTTCCACGTGAAGAAGTTGTGTCTCGTTTGAGCGCAATGTTGTAGTGAACTGTTGATTCCACTGCGCTTCGCTGCCCCCTTTCTTGTGTAAATCCGTCCGCATCAAGTAGGACGACCAACTACCTGAAGGATTACAGTCTTGCATACTTAAACTATCGAATAGTCTCATCTCGAGGAAGCACGATTGCGTTCCAAACTTTTCGGCTTTGGGTAACCCCGTTGCCCCTAGCGCATTAATAATCAGTAGCAATCGATCCCTACCGGCGTTTGCTTGCTCGGCAGCCGGAATCTCCATTAGAACAGGGCTTGTCTTCGCAACAGGAATCCCTGAAGATTTCGTCATCCCGGGAGCTACGAAAGCACCTTGATTTGGCAGTTTTCGTTGCTTACTGCTGCTAATAATTGGATTAAGCGTCACGAAGCCAGAATCACTCTCTCCGGAGTGGATAACCACCTCGGACGGGCCTCCCATTGCAGCATCTTCAGCACTCAGATGTCGATGCTCACGACCACCTCGAGCTCCGTGAAATGCCTTCCCGGACCGATCAATAGCGACCTCAATGCCTTCCTCGTCTTCGGCTGTCAAATCTACATCCCCAACCTCCTCTTCCTCGTTAAATTTCGATGGGAACTCCACCGTTTCCGCTTCTTCGCCCGTGATAATCCCTGTGATGTCGCTCAATGCGTACTTTTGCTTAGGAGATGCCATTGGGCTTCCTGCTAAGCGACTGAGAAACCCTTTACGTTGAGGCTTGTAAATGGACTTCTTCACGATCTGGTAGTTACTCTCGTCCTCGTCGGTCTCATCCGTCGATAGCGTATGGAACTGAGACTCAGTTCTAGGATCAACTGTCGCTCGAGGCTGCTGCGCTTCCTCGATAGTCTTCGCTCTACTTCCTGTAGAGTCTCCATGTTTATTCCTCGCGTCACTGCTCTTTTCTTTCCAGTCCGGTGCATCGCTTCCCAGCTCTCGCTCCTGCATCTTTCCCTTCCGTGTAGACTCCTCTTCAGCCTCGCTGCCACTAGCATCTACCCTAGGGCTCAGGTCGTCAAACCTGGGCTGGTCTTCGCTCTTTTTCATGAGATTATCTGTACACACGGCTAAGGACGCGGCCTAGTCTAGCGCCCGTTGTTCACATTCAACGCAAATAGATGCTGTACCCTCGCAGCATCGCATGAGCACCATAACGATTAAGGTTGAAGTGACCTACACGCTGACGGAATCGCACTTAATGCGATAGTCTTCTGTAGTAGTACTACTGTACTACTGCTATTACTGGTACATGTAGTAAGTACTTCTAATACTACTGTAGTACGTAGTAGTTGGCTATGCAGTGGCAAACGCGACCCTTGACTTGAAAGGACGATCAGTATGGATCGGGGACAAGTTCTGCGAAGATGGTAGGAACAAACAGCAAGGTATTCATTCAAACACCCTCCCTCGATGTGCGGAATATATCTTTGTCTATGTAAAACAACTTCGCCATTTCCTCCTGGGTTGGTGTCGATCTTGAACTCACAACTTTATCGGTCGATCCTTCTCGAGCAACGAGATCAAGCTAAGCTTCTTAGACCATCATCTTCTTGAACTCATCGTACAGCACCAGCACGATAGCACCGCCCGTGCCACGCAGGATGTTGGAGCCAGCACCCTTGAAGAAAGCGCCCGAACCCTCGTTCTTAGCGATCTTCATGGCGCAGTCAAGCGTGGACGTGTACAGAATGTCCTTACGGCCAGCCTGCATCATCATACGACGACGCACGGTGTCGAAGGGGTACGAGATCATACCGGCCAGCGAGGTCACGGTCTGGGCCACCAGCCACTTCTGCCACACGGGGGCGTTCTTGGGGTCGCGCAGAGCAACGTCACGCAGGGTGTCGTAACCACCGAAGAAGGCGGCACGGTACACGATGATACCGCCAACCGACACACCGAAGCCCTGGTACAGGCCGCTGATACCGTCCGACTTGTAGATCGTGGACACGCAGTTCACCAGACCGGTGTACATACGCGACTTGCCCTTGCCGACATCGGCACCAAGACGGGTACGGGCAAAGTCAAGCGGGTACACGAAGAGCAGCGAGGTGGCACCGGCGGCACCGCCCGAGGCAAGGTTGCCCATGAAGAAGCGCCAGAACTGCTCCTTGGTCACACCGTCCATGAACAGCTTTTTGAACTTGTCCTTGAAGGCGAAGTTCAAGGCCTGCGTCGGGAAGTAACGGATGACGTTGGCCAGGTTACCGCGCCACAGCGAGTTCACGCCCTGCTCCTTGGTCACACGCACGAAGCAGTCCACGATGCCCTTGTACTGGTCCTCGGGCTTGATCTGCGTCGAGGCGGCCTGCACCTGCAGAAGCAGCTTGACACGCTCAATGGGGGCCACAACGGTCTTGGAGATACCGCCGGCAACACCGCCGGCAGCCAGGTCCAGAAGGAACGACATGGCGCCGCTCTTCTTCTCAGAAGTGGCAACGGGCTTGTACTGGGTCAGAGCGCTCATCTTGACTGAAGGGGGAGGCTTTAAAAGTCTTCTACGCTGACCGGAGAAAAATCCTAAATGATCGAAAGGCTTCCTAGGGGGCGAAAGTGTGCGGCTTTGGGGAGCCACACACTGTGGTTTTGACGATACTCCCCAAATCGACCAATAGGAGCGCCCAGATGATGGCATTGCAGATGTCCATTGGACAAAACGTGTCGGTTTCGAACGAGTGGTTCGCACGAATGAGCCTCCACGCATGTAGGATGGAAGGAATATAGGCGGTGAGAGGCTGCCATTGCTCCAGCTCTTACTCTTTCGCCAATCCTTGGCGAATAAAGTTCTAAGAGAATTGTCTCCGTTTTTGGTGCTGTCGAAGCGCTAGGTCTATTATGAGTGACTCACAATAATAGCCTCACTGAGAGAGGCTATAATTGACAAGCTGGTGGCCCAACATGAACTTCGTACAGTATAAGAAGTCCGTTTTGTTCTAATTGTGGAGTGCAGTGCTGACGGTCGAGTCGAGTAGCTCAACGGACTTCGTCGGCACAGATTCCGACTTAGAAGCAGAATCTGAGGTCCGGATCCGTTGTCAGCTCGTGTTTGACCCGTGCACAAATTGGACTGACATAGAGTATAGCAGGTATTCCATTACCTTACGCAGGGAAACCTTCAGCACTTCATTGCGTTGCCACGCGGGACGCATCACCGCACTGACGTGTTCACGGTGCTTGGGCTCTGCCTCAAGTCTGTGGGCACGCTTGCCACCACTCATCGTCCACCAATCCCCTCGACACTGTCGAGTCGACTTGAGGCTCGAGCGCGATTGCGGCAGACCGGAAGTGCTGGAATGCACGAGAATTTACCCGCCGTCCCTTTCGTATTTTCAATTTGTTGGCGTTTCTTCAGTACCGGCAGCGCCATCGCGGTTGGTAAATCCACTCAAGGTGGAGCACTTGTTGCTATGTATTCACTTTGCTGGGCCATAACGCTGGATCACGAGTGAGATCGCGACATCTCTCGACCGTAACAAGCCGCCGCGCTCATGAGAACAGACGGCAAAAAAATGTGACGGAGCTGTGTCGGACGGCGAAAAAGTATCTTCGTCAACAAGCTGTACAATCCCAACAGCGTGCCACGTCGATCCGTTTAACAGCGGAGACGAACTCACTCCCCAAACCCCGCCCCTGTAGTCGCAGTCCAAGCCAAGCAGCGCTGCATGTCTATGCGGATTACCTGGCCACGATCACCTTCATTCGCCGACATGTTAACACCCTTGACCGCCGGCGATGCTCAAGCATGCGGTCGAGCTGTGGATTGCAAGTATGTTAGTTGTGGTGGCCCACGATAGCGTTACAACCATGCCGACGATCGTCAATTTCGCAGCGAGGCGGCTCGAGCCTCCAAGGCGCTTCAAGTCCTGCGCTTGTTGCTTTTGGTCGGGTAGCAGTACCAGTGTCACGAGTCCCAGCAGCTGCACGCTTCCTGCTATAAAGAGGCAATACGCAACTTGCCAACGCACGTGTCGCGTGTCTGAGGCGATGGTCTTGTCCGACACGTCAAAGCACGCGTCCACGATGTTGGTCACGCTCTGCGCAAATGGCCAGGCCAAGTTGTGCACAGTAGTCAGCAGCGCGTACGTCGCGCCTTCGAAGCCCTGTTCAGCGATTTCCACAGTCACGAAACCTGCTACGACGGCACGCATGCCTTCCGGGATGGCAGCGAGTTGGGGACCGCCAAGGTAGAACCATTGGCTGCGTACGATGTCGAAAGTTGTCACCACATTCACCCCGACAAAAACCACGGTGGTGAATAACGAACAGGTGAGCATGATCCAGCGCCAGCTAGCGTTGAGGAAGTACTCACGCATCAAGAACGTCGCGAAGACAACCAGCGCCGTGGAGACGCAACCAGCCAAACTGTTGTTGAGCGGTGTGACGCCCACCCAGAACTCCTGTATCGCGGCGAGGTCCGAAAAGCTGACGGATGTGAGGAAGGAATGCCAAAAGTGGAACGCTACAAGCTGCCAGATCGCGCGTTGTTGCAGAATACGCCACATGTCACGCATCGGTGTGGCGGGGATTGGTTTGCTCTTGCTTGTATGACTTGACCCGGCGCGTGCTTCGTCGAGGAAGAGCATTGTACCGCAGCAACCAAGCAGAGCCACAGCTGCGCAGCCCCAAAAGACACTGTTCGGTGCTACGGTCCAGGAGAATGTCCCGCCGTACACTTTGCCGTTGAAGCACAGTGCCGCTACGAGGCCTGCCACCAAGTTGGCGCTGTAGCGAACCATGTAGATCGTCGCTTGCGCTTGCCCACGTATCTCGATCGGCTCAAGCTGCGCCATCTCCACCATAACACCGTCACAAGCTACGTCAGTCATTACGTATCCAGCACACACGACAAGCAAACGGAGGAGATATTGGCCTCCTGAAGCTGCAGCATCCTCGTTTTCCACGACCCGCAAGTTCATTTCGCGTGTCGTTGGATCTCTCCGGCTTTGTAGTATGGCGCCTCAATTGGGTGGTATGCTAGCACTACGAGTGCCGCGATGCTGATAGCCCAGCCGATCAGCATATACGACTTACGTCGATATCCAGCGATTGGCACGTGGTCGGACAGTAACCCGAACAGCGTTTTGTAAGACCACGGTAACTGCACTACTGCGGCTGCAGCTGAGACCTGGAAGCCATCCATGTTGAGATAGAGCTTGAAGAACGGGTACACCAGTGCCGGTAGTAACCCGTTCAGGGTCCCGATGCACGCGTAGTTGACTAGCAAGCCGAAGCGAGACGCGTCTAGCAGGTCCACGATGCCATCGTCGCTGTATGGCTCCGACCAGCGTCGAGCCAGCGCCTTGCGACTCTTGCGCTGCTCGTCGTCGCTCGGTTTTCGATCCACACCCAGCTTCTGATATCCTCCAGCTTCCAGTATCGATGTGGATACGAATGAAGCTGGCACAGCTATAGCCGAACCAACGACGGAAGGACCAGAGCTGGGAAGCAACGCATTGCCTTCATCATCGCTCTGCGATCTGGTCGACATTCGCTCACATCTAGTTATGGTCCACTTGTGGAACAGTCTTGAAAGCCGAAAGCTGCTCCGAGGCGTCGGATAGCATCGCTCCTCAGCCGTTGATTGCGCTTGGAAAGGACTCTCACAATTTAATGTGAAAATCCAAACTTTAACTGCGCATTAAAACTAAAATGTGGACTTTAGCACAAATTGTGCTGCAAAATACTGTAGTTCTGTGCAGCATTTTAGTACTATTTGTTTAGCAAGATTACTCTTCTGCTTAATTATGTATTAATATTACTTTTCAAAATAGGAGTACAATATCATAATTGGTAGCCATTTCTATTTGTTTGAATAGAAATGATCTTTAGAGCACTTGTCAAAATGCTGCACTCGCTGTACATCATCAACAAGGCCGGAGGCCTAATCTACCAGCAGGACCTGAGCCCCGCGGCTCCCAAGCTGAGCTCCAATGACCACCTGCGTCTGGGTTCCACCTTCCACAGCATGCACGCCATCGCAGCGTTGGCAGCGCCCACGAATTCGGGCGGCATCGACAGTCTGGAGACCGGCACCTTCCGTCTGCAGTGTCTGCAGACGCCTACAGGCATCAAGTTCTTCATCACGGCGGCTCTGGGCACGCATGACCTGGATGTGGCGCTGCAGACAGTGTACGAGCTATACGTCGACTACGTGCTCAAGGTATTTGCTATTGCAACCCTTTTAATAATTGGGACCTGGATTCTAACGATCTAGTTATTTTGCTAACAGAATCCATTTTACGAGCTGGAGATGCCGATCCGTTGCAGTCTCTTCAATACTGGACTCAAAATTTTCGTCGACAAGTTCAACCTGGACAGCGGTCGTCGCCGTCCGCAGAGCAGCAGCGGCACTGACGTCTTCTACTGATCAAAGAGATGACAAAGACGTGTAGGTTTGCTGTTGATGTTATCCCTCCGTCATGTACTTCTGGCGTAGCAAAACTTTTATACGCTCCTTTATAAAGATTTTTCAAGTATTTAAGTTGAGAAAAAGCAGAAAAAACAGTTTTTGAAAAGTAGCATTGGGGTGTCATTCGGCTGCTTCATAATTCTGGGCACCAGTGTCATTGTCTTCGATGCTGAGCATAAACGACCCGTCCCCGCAGAACTTGTCGTCAAGCCATGCCCCGTGGTAGCTCGTGCCGTCGAGTACCGTGTAGCTGCCGGTTCCATGGCGTACATCGTTCAGCCAGTCGCCGTCGTACTCACACCCATTGGCATATTTGCACATTCCGTGACCGCAACGCACGCCGCCCACCCATTTCCCGTCATAGTGAGCTCGAGTCCGAGCGTCGTCAAATACACCGAAGCCATTACGTCTACCGTTGCGCCATTCACCGCGGTACACAGATCCGTCTCGCAGAGTAGAAACACCATGTCCAGAACGACGTCCGGTTATCCAGCCGCCCTTGTATACCTCGCCCGAAACATGGTGGCTTTCACCTTGACCGTGAGGGACACCATCACACACTTCGCCTTCGTATCGACAGATACCATTCTGACCGTCGTCGTACCCTTCAAGACAACTTTGTTGCCGAGTATCAAATACATCGTCGACCCATGTACCCACAAGTTTTGTGCCATTGGAAAACGTAAGAGTTCCCGTACCGTGCTTTCGATCGTGCACCCATTGACCTTCGTATCGCTTCGGTTGCAGTTGTTGAGCCACACTGAAAGACTCACGTAGATGGAATTCATAGATCCCGTATCCGTGACGTCGATCGTGCTCCCATCGACCAGAATACACGTCTTGGCTACTACCGTAGCGCATGACACCTTGGCCACAGCGTTGATCATCTCGCCAGTCACCGTCGTACTCATCTCCGTTAGCATAAGTACATTTACCTTTGCCATGACGCTGCGTCTGATCAGCGTTCATTTCTCCTACGTACACGTCTCCATTACTCAATATCTTAGTTTTGATCGGGTTGGCGTCAGCTTGACGTTGAGCCTCTTCCTCCGCCTCACTAGGAAAACTTGCCGGTGTCTCCCAGAAGTCCAATACTGTTGTTGAGTCAAGAAATGACTGCAGCTGTCCCTCCTGTGGCATCGGAACACCGCCAAACAAGAAGAATCCTCGTTTATCCGGGCGTACTGCTGTGGCGTGGCCCATGTAGCTCGGAATTTCAGCTGTTGGCACTTGTATCTCACGGATACGTGGACGTTGAGGCTCAAGGACGATCATCGACGACGCACTCAGAGCTGGTTCATACTCGGAGAAGCCACCAAAAACCACGATTGCTTCTTGAGGATTGCAAGACTTGTCACCCGCCTTGATTCTTCGAATTACTCCTGTCTCCTCGTCGATCGGAAGTTGCACGGCTAACGCGGTAGCGCAACATCGTGCGGTGAGAACTCGAGGGGTGAGGCTGCTTTCAGGTGTTTCGCTTGCGATAGTGATGGCACTCCACGTGTTAGCTACTAAGTCCAAGACGTGAATGGACGAGTTTATCGATGATTTTTGTCTGCCTCCAAGAACTACAATCTTGTCACCTTCACCAATTGAGACAGCATTATGGTAGGCCAAGGGGAGTGGGCTAATGCCAGTAGGCTGCGTTAACCGTACGAAGTGTAAGTTAAGATATTGTCGAGTGAGTGGAATACTGACTTACCGACAGCTGCTGCCAGCGAGGCTTGTGTCCTGGAGCATTTATTATCAGCATCCAGATATCCGACAGGGTAGCGCATTGCAAGTTTTTCCCCCCGACGACGACCATGCCTTGAGTTGGAGGGCTTTCAGGACCGCTTGTGGTTTCTCGGTATGCAACTGCAGCGCTGGCATGCCATGCTCTTCCGCAGGGGGCAGGAGAAAGTGGAATTGTAGGATCCGTCCCGTCGCCACTGATCGGAGTGATGTCCATGCAGTACAGAACGTTGTCCTGGTAGCTGATCTCGAAAACGTCGCCTATGAGCTGTTGTTCGAAGCCAGCACACCGGTCTAGAGGCTCACCTCCAAAGGTGTAAGCCTTCTTGTCCAGTGTGACCACAGAGTGCCCAATACGATGAGTGAGTTCACCGTTGACATCATAACCAGTGAGCCATTCGGTAGTGTGCAAGTCAAACAAATCAAGTCGTGATACACTCGAGAAGTTTTCGCTTGGTAGCTCTTCCTTGCCTCCAACAATGACGACGCTGGCGGCAAGCAAGAAGATCATCACTATGTGATACGCTGACCACAAACACTTCATTAGCTTACATGTGGTTATTCAGGGTTCCCGTGCAAGCTCCAGACAAGCTGAAACTCTCGTGCGGTCCTGGGTGCTTCCTCTCCAGCGTGCGAGATACGTGAGTCCCCCACGACGCGAAATCATGAGACTTGATATACAAGTTAGCGACGTTAAAGTCGATAAACCCTGTCATGGATCGTTGTCCTCACCTCCAGCCACTTCAAATCCTGTCCGTCTAATGTCATTCCTCTGTATCGTTGATCAAAGAGGCGCTTTAGTTTAATAAAAAAAAACACTTTATGCTGCTAACTATTCTTGGAATCGACATCAAATATAATAACAAAACTTCGATCAACATGATGGTCGGCGCGCTTGTCGCCAAGATAGGGGCTGGAGTAAACGCGTCGAAAGCTACTCGTGACGCTGGGTCGGCCTCGACATCAGCTGCGCTAGCCCAACAAAAAACACGTCCAAATGAAGCGATCTTCAACACGCAGTTTACAACCGCTGGCAAGCGATTCCTGACCAAAGTCAAGAAAAATCGCGCCATGCAGGTTGACCGCCGAACGCGAGGCTTTCAGCACGGTGTCGACCACCGGACGGTGGTCCTTGACCCTTTCACGCGAAGTCACTATCGGATAATGCTGGTGGATCCAGACATGCTACGCCGTGAAAACCTTGCTGATGATCTCGAACAGCGTTTCGAAATCTTCGTAGCACCCAGCAATGAACGGGCATTTGCACTGCTGGGGCTTTTCCAAATGAACTTTGTCCTGCTGCGTCTAGATATCGGTAATGATCAAACTGCATCGACCAGTCCAGCACTCTCGTTTCTAAGAGAAATGAAGCGTAGTTGTTTCCGAACACCCGTTGCAGCTCTAGTAGACCCCTCTTTCAGTACTGACCATGAGACACAGAAGCTACTAGCACGTGCACTTCAGCAAGGTGGCATCTGTGGCTACTTCGAACAAGGTCTCGCACCCGACATCATGACAGAGCGAATTGCTAAACTGTTGCGCTCACTTACGGTGGCACAAAAAGAACTCACTCGATGTCGTGGAACTGCGACCCATAACGATAAAGCTCCAAGTCGGGCATCGTCACCGCAACCGAAGCCGCAAAGTGACAATCAAGTCGCTGCTAAGACACGTGCCACTCCACCAAGCTCAGCTACTGCGTCCAAGCGACTGCCAACAACCGAAGTACCAAACACTCGACCAAGTTCAGTCACGTTTGATCGCCCCGGAATGCTATTGGAGCTTAGTCTGAACCAACGTAAGCAGTGTCTTCGTCAACGCGAGTCGCTCCAAGTGACTCTTGTGCCAGCTCCACACTCTGTCCTTGGCGTTGACATTGACGTTAATCCTGCATCCCCAGGAAGACCAACCACACCGTTAACCACATGCATTTCTCCGACTTTCGGTTCGACTGTACGACAAACACAAGTCAAGAAGAAGATCCCCCCGCTCCCTTCTCCAAAGCAAGTGAGTCAGCTGATCTACACACGACCACAAGAACTACAGACGCGAATCGATCGGCATCTGTATGAGCGTGTGCATATCTCCGGCCCACCTGGACCTGTGCCTCAAGATCCTCTACTGAACCACTGCGTAGTCATTGACCCACGCGCACAAGGTCGAGATCTCGTGGTGGGGAAGGCGTACATGTTGTACTGCGAACAGCGTCTGGATGAGGCTCTTTTGCACTGCGACCGAGCACTACGAACCCTCAATTCAACATTAGAGAAGCTGGCACGGCTTCTTCGAGGAGCTCTGTACGACGCTCGAGGGGAACATACTCGAGCCGAAACAGAGTTCCTTGCTTGTCTGCAGCTGGACCCGTCACTGCACGAAGCTCACTTTAACCTCAGCGTCGCTCGACTCAAACTGGGTAAAGATGCTCTTGCACTGGAAGCTCTTACACAGGCGTTGACACTTGATCCACAGAACGACAAGTATTTACAGAACCGTGGTCTCATATATCGTCGTATGGGGCAGTTTGTTCAAGCACAAGACGAATACTGCAAACGTGAGGGCACTTCAGGCACTACGACGGGCAGAACGCTTAGTAAGCGAGGCACAAACGCATCTTCGGTTTCTCGGAATAAACAGCCTACCAGAGGGGTCAGCAAATGTGACTTGGACGACGGACTATTTGCCCATTTATTCGGTAAACCCACACCTGATAAATTGGCATTGGCATGTCCGTCATCGGAGCGTTCAGTCGACATGCTCAGTGCAATTGTAGCGAGACTGCGAACGCTTTTATTCTTCCAGGACTTTTCACGTGACATGCTCACTCAAGTAGCCCAAGTGCTGGACTATGATGTAGTAGCATGCGGAAAAAGCTTCGTGCTGGGAGAAACCCACTCGCAGAACTTCTACGTGCTACTAGGAGGAAGACTCAGTATTCGTAGACGATTCGGAACGACCGATTTCGGCTCAACAGTGACGACGCACCATCTCGGAACGGGCTCAGTTTTCGGGTGTGCAGGCTTCACGATCTCCGCCCAGGCGTCGCTTATAGCGGACGAGTGTGCTGAAATCGGAATTCTTTGGCCTGGCGACTACGCAGCGACGATCCGAGCCGTGACTTCACAGACGAATCAAGATATCTTTGCATTCTTACAACAACTACGAGGCTTTCGTCTGCTTTCCACTAGCGAGCTCGGCCATTTTGTGGGCATATCAGAGCGAAAACGATTCCGCAAAGGCGACGTATTGCTGGAACAAAACGAGCAGCCGCGACACCTCATTGTCTTATGGAAAGGGAGCTGCTCAGTCTATCAGAACTTTGATAACGCACCTCTAAGTCGGCGAAGACTGAGACGAAGTGCTAATTTCGACGGATGGAATGACGACGATAGCGCTTCAGACGACAGTACGGATAGTGATGGCCTTGGAGGAAGTAAAGGTAGGCGGCGTGATCAAGATGAAGACGACAAAGGTCCACCGCCATTCCACCACCTCATCGCCAAGTCTGATTGGCCGCTGGGCTTTCAAACTCGTACACGCGCTCGCAAATACCGTCGTGGGCGCCGCGATGGCTTGGTGTTGCCTCAAACGCCTCCAGTTGTGAGATCTCTGAGCACAGCCCCACCACTAACCATGTCGCTGCCCATGCGTCGTCTGAAGGACACGCTGTCATCTAACGACAAGAACGCTCTCGTCCAGAAATGTGTCGCCCCTGCCGTGTTTGGGGAATCCAGATTTCTGGATCTTACGCACTCGCCATCCAAGTGCAGCGTGGTAGCAGAATCACTGGTTGAGGTGCTGCTCTTCGACCACATGCGACTGCAAGAGATGGATCTATTGCCGGAAGTCATCAGCGAGTTGTTCGACGCTGCCCCAAAGTACCGGAGCGAGGAGGAGGTCGCTCAAAAGCAGGCAGATGTGGTACGTGACGCTATTTTTTGAGTTTTGATGTCTACGCAGTTATTCAATGCTGCTATTGCTGCTCTGTAGGCCATGTGGGACGAGTATCGGAACCTGCGCTTATTGGAGCTGTCCAAGAACCGCTGGCCTGATGCAAAGGTGGGATGTAATGGCTAAGAGCAGCATTGTAATGGACTAATCGATGCTTTGCGGCTACAGAAACACCTTCGAGCATTGTCCAATGGCTGCAGCATCATGTTAGCTGACACCAGCGCACTCGAGTCGAAGTAAAAAATGTACCCATGTTTGTGTGCCCGTCTCATAAACCACGCAATGTCGTCAACCCTCCTGACGACATAATCATTGATTTGTTTCGCAAGATGTAGGAGGGATGACATGCAAACATTGCTGTTTATGCACTTTTTCGTGATCAAGAGTCGACGCGACATGATATGCGTTATCACAGGACCCTTTGTACTGCCTTAACCTACCTGAGTAAGAATGCCGCAGGAGCAAATGGAGGAGGAACCGTCGGCGTCTTCGCGCGGGCGCTGGCTCGCTCGACGCCGCACGTCCCGGGGCGACAGCGGGGGCAGCCGGGGCGACAGCAGCCCTCCGCTAACCGCACTGGCGTCGCTGCTGCTCAGTTCCCAGCCGCCTGTGAGCATGACAGACGCTCGTGTGCTCGCCATCTCCCGTGGAACGTCGGTGGGCGACGATGACGATCCCACAGACGCTTCGCCCAACGTGTACAAGTTCAACGTAGCGCAGTACAAGGACGGCTCGTTCCGCTTCGTTCCAGCTTGTGCACGTGACCTCATTAAGTATACAGGACGTCTGCTGCACCACGGCGCCCAGTCTGCGCGGAAGACCAAAATCAATACAGTGCAGTTCGACTGGCCCGCTGTTGCCTTCCAGATCTCAGTGCGAGGCACCAGCAGCGTCGCGATCCGTCTCAAAGGAGATGGTACGCTGGCTTGTAGTCGTAGCTGTTAATAAGCTCAATGTTGACGGCGTCGGATTGATTGGCATGGGGCGGGAGAGGAAGATCGCTGAGTTATCAAAAGTGACTGAGTCAACCAGGTCAAGTGGCCGGTTGAAAGCATGCCACGCTCTGAACTCATTTTTGGTCCGACGCCCCGACCCGATCCCCAAACCTGCTGTTTTTGGTCATTTGGTGGCTCTGACGCTGCTGTTTTGGTATGTTTTAGGGAATTATTTCAACGTGTTCGTGAATAAGAAACTGCGTTGTATCCTCCGCGCGTCACTGAACGCAACTTGCTGCGACGGTGAGACCGCGAACGTGTTTGTGGCTCTTGTGGACGTTTTGCTGATGCTGTCGTGCAGTTGCGACGGATCTGGACGCGGAGAAGGAGTACACGATCCGAATTTGCAAGCGAACGGAGCCGCAGATGCGAGGAGCGATGTCTACGTTCAAGGTGCGACTCCATTGAGCGGAGTTGTGTACAGGTTTTTCTTATTGATTCTGGATTGGTGTGGCGGTAGGTTTGCACGTTCTACGGGTTTATTGTGGAGGACAAGGCGGAGGTTCTTCCGGTGGACCAACCAGAGCCCCAATCCGTCCGCAAAATGGAGTTTATTGGCGACTCGGACACATGCGGCTTCGGCAATGAAGGCAAAGCCAGCAGTGCGAAGAACTTGTTCGGTATGAAAGGACGCATGGAGAACGTCTACAATGGCTACGCGTGTATTGCAGCGCGTATGTTTGACGCTGAAGAGCATGTGCTGGCATGGAGCGGGTAACTCTACTGATCTCCTATAACGTTTTTCTTGACTAACTGGAGTGTCTTTTTTTTCTTCTTGTAAAGTAAGGGCGTACACAGCAACTCTGCAGATTGGGGGCCCAATATGCCCGCCCTATGGAAGAATACACTCGCATCACGACCAGGAGACTGGGAGATGTCCAGTTGGGCACCTGACGTCGTGGTGATCAACCTCGGTATTAACGATTTATCGCCTCCTGCCTCGGCAGAGACAGACATTATTACAGGCTACGCGACGTTTCTGTTTGAAGTGCGCTCTTGTGAGTATTATGTGAAGTGGATAATGGACATTAAGCTATGTGTTGACTATTTTTTTTACCTATACAGACCGCCCGGACGCACATATCTTCTGCGTAGTATACGACGACGGCTGCATGAGCTCGGAAGACTCGGAAACGAACCGCAAATTTGTGTCTCGCCAGCTGCAGGAGATCATCAAGGTAGCTATTTCTAAAGCCAGCACACACGACAACAAGATGCACTACGCTTTCATCAAGGTACGCGCAGTAGTATACTACAATATTTTGTCTAAATATTAATACTAATAGTTATTGATATCAGGTGGAAGAGGGACTTGAGAAAGAGGACTATGCGTCTATGATGCACTACGCCGTCAGCGGTCACGTTAAGATTGCCAAAGTATTGGCAGAGGAGATCGCTCTGCGTACGGGATGGAGTGTAGAGCACGAGCCCGAGACGATGCCGTATCCTCAGGCGAAAGACCAAATTCTGATACCCCGAGACCATTCCAAAGCCTCGTGCACAGTTTCATAACCAAGTTGAAGTTACCGCGCACTATTTGGGCTAGGAAGTAAAAAAGGCAAGACCTATTTATTGTCCCATTTGTTTATCACTCTTTTTTTTGCATACGAATAGTATTTGAAGTGAATTGGATCATGCTGGCGGCCGAGAAGCTACGTGAGTTGCGCGTGCTTATGAGCCGCACGAATGTGCGTCTGCTGCCGCTTCGCCATCTCCTGGGCAAGACAGAGAAGGGTACAGCGGCTGAGCTCACGGGTCGGCCGCTGCAAGCTTTCCTAGTGGACACGGCGGACGCGCATCAGAGCGAATATGTGGGAGATGCGCATAAACGCCGCGAATTCCTCACGGGCTTTACGGGTTCCAATGGCACAGCGCTAGTGACACCGGACCAAGCGCTTATGTGGACGGATGGTCGCTACTTCTTGCAAGCGGAGCAGGAGCTGAGCGAGGACTGGACGCTCATGAAGAGCGAAGAAGCGGGTGTGCCGTCCATTGAGCAGTGGACTAAAACGAATCTGCCAGACGACAGCTGTCTGGCCATCGATCCGTACTTGACGTCTGTATTGGCTGCACGAAACTTCGCTAAAGTATTGAAGGAGACGAAGATCGAGTTGGTGGCTCTGCATGAGACCGAGAACCTCGTGGATCTCGTGTGGAAAGACCGTCCGGCTGTGTCTCCTTCGCAAGTCACGTTCCTGTCGGGTGAGTATACTGGTCGCTCTATTGCAGACAAGCTCAAGAGTCTGAGAGACGCAGTGAAGGGCAAGGGCGCAGACGCCATCATACTCACCGCACTGGACGACATCGCGTGGCTCTTTAACATCCGCGGCAACGACGTCGAGTTCAACCCCGTCGTGTGAGTATCTCAGCTGCAACAAATATTATAGAACTGTTGCTAATTTCTAATAGTTTTCTTTGATCTTACAGCACGTCGTACGCGGTTGTGACGCCAGACACTGCGACGTTGTTCTTGGACGCAGCCAATCAGCACGAAGTGACGCAGCACTTGCGCTCCAGCGGCGTGGAATGCAAACCCTACTCGAGTGTGTTGAGCGAGGTCTCGGCTTTAGCTGCAGCGAACAAGGACACGAAGATTCTGGTGGACCCGGCGCAATGCAACGTTGCAGTGTTTCTAGCCATCCCCGCTGCGAACCGCAAGGAAGACACGTCCGTGGTTATGGCACAAAAGGCTATTAAGAGTGCTGTGGAGATCGAAGGCATGCGTCAAGCACACTTGCGTGACGGTGCTGCGCTAGTCAAGTACTTCAGTTGGCTCGAAAAGGAGATGGCTGCTAGTCATGAAGAGCAATGGGATGAAGTTCTCGTGGCTGATAAACAGGAACAATTCCGCAAAGAAGCGAAGCACTACGTGTCACTGAGCTTCGATACTATCTCGTCCGTTGGTGCCAATGGATCGATCATCCACTACTCGCCGAAACGTGGAGATTGCGCCAAAATGTCGACGTCTGCCATGTACCTGAACGACTCTGGAGCGCAGTACTTGGACGGCACGACAGACGTGACCCGGACGCTGCACTTTGGACAGCCGACAGAGTATGAAAAAGCCTGCTTTACTTACGTGTTGAAGGGACATATCGCGCTCGCGAGCACAGTTTTTCCGGACAAGATGGACGGTGTCAAACTCGACGCCATCACACGCGCGCCGCTGTGGAAAGCTGGTCTGGACTACCGTCACGGAACGGGCCATGGCGTCGGTGCGTTCCTCAATGTGCACGAAAAGGGGGTGGTAAGTTCTCTACTGTAGAAGTCGAGTGAGTATACAGGAATTGTCGATGCTAATCTGCGTTGTATATTCTGTAGTTGATGTCGTTCCGCTTGAACCCGAACGGTCTGAAGATCCAAGATGGTATGGCCCTCAGTAATGAGCCTGGATACTATGAAGACGGCAAGTTCGGTATTCGTATCGAGAGCGTCATGGTGGTCAGGAAGGTAAGCGCTTCGTGCTGTTGTAGGTTTTTGAGGAAGAGTATTGAGATTTTACTCCTGTGTACTCTTCTGCTAGGCGCCGCATATCAAGAGTCCACTTAACCGCGATTTTTGCAAATTCGAGACGCTCACCATGGCTCCAATCCAGCAGAAACTCATCGACGCGAGTTTACTCACCCCCGAGGAGATCAAGTGGCTTAATGCGTACCACAAGGATGTCCACGACAGACTGCAACCACTGCTGCAGGACGATCCGGATACCTACGCGTACCTCGTCCGTGAAACGAAACCTCTGTAGCCTTCCGCTAGCTCTCTTGGTAACCTTCCAAGTCGTGTGAATGTTGTCGTCTTTCTTCTTGTTTGTCATTCTCTGCTACATCGTCTTGACTCTCGTTGTTCCTACTGGGAGACGGGCTTCTGCTCGCTCGATGGTGTCTCGCTTGAACTCGAGCGCGTCGCTCTTCTCTCTCCTCGAACCTCTCGATCTGATGCTGCAAACGCGTCTCCATGGCCTCGTACCGCTTCTCCTGTCGCTCTTGTCGCTCTGCCTCGCGCTTCTTACGCTCCTCAATTTGGTGCGGAGTTTCCCCCGCTAGAGCCTTCGCCACGTGATCAAACCGCTCTTGATACACGCGCATGTCCCGCTCAATCTGCTGCTGCTTTCTTAATAATTCCTCCTCTGACATCGACTCTTCCTTTCGATACACTTGCACAAGAGGAGGTATACCTCTCTGTTGCTGCTTCTCCTCAATAACAGCTTTATCATGCTGCTGCGGCGTCTTGAACGGCTGCACGACAGGAGCTACTGCAGCTTCCGCTGTGTCGTTGAATGTTGGATACAGCGGAGTGTCTGCGTTGTATAGCTGCGCCTTCGGACGCATCGGTTGTCCGAGATTTTCGCTATTAAACTGCGGTGAAGAGGCAGGAGGCTTTGTGGGCGTCGGGACATCAGGTTCTGGGGCGTCGAAGGCGTCGATTAGCTCGTCGTCGTAGACTTCTTCGAGTTGTTCCATGCTCTTGTAATGTTCTTCAATTTGTCATAATCAAATCAGAGAGGGGGGAACGTTTAGAATGCATAGCCAGTCGCTATGAGTGAGTATCGAGTGGCGGTGATCGGCGCCGGGATGGCGGGAGTGGCCACTGCGAGCGCCTTGCTGGCGTCGAAGCACTTTAAGCTCCAAGATATTTGCGTGCTGGAGGCTCAGAAGCGTATCGGTGGACGGATCCACACTCGCGTCTTTAGTGACGAGATGCCGGTGAAGGTGGAAGCAGGGGCGGCGTGGATTCACGGCACGGAGGACAACCCGATGGTCGAATTGGCTGAGAGATTCGGTATCGAACTTCAAGAGATTAGCGCTCGGAACCCGTGGCTTCATCCGAGTTCATGTCCAGGGTTTGTGGTCTATGAGGGTAATAGACAGTTGGGTGAAGAGGAAGTGAAGGAGACGTGGGAGTGGCAAGATCTGTTGCTTCATAAGCTCCAGAAGCTAGCGTTGTCCGGGGAAAGGGAGGGCAACACTCTAGCTGTGGCCGTGGAATATCTTTTAGGGGAAGATAAGGAGCTACAAAGGATTGTGGCGTCCAGTGCCAATGCTCGTGAGAGGTTAAAACTGTGTCTGCATCTTGTGGAGACGTGGATGGGGAGTGAGAGCCATGAAATGCAGATCGACGCGCTCGGGGAGATCGATCTCATGGGGTGAGGCGTGTTGCTCGCTCTATTGGTTTGATTCAAGGATACTAATGTTGTTAATCTGTAGAGATGATCCCGGAGCTCATTGTCTGGTTCCTACAGGAATGGAGACTTTCGTTGAGCACCTCTCTGCGCCATTAAAAAGTATGATTCGCACTAACGCTAGTGTCACCTCAATTAACTATGAAGGACCAGAAGGCGTGAGCATTGAGTGCACTGATGGTAGCATATTGAAAGCAGATCGCGTCGTGGTGACATGCTCTCTGGGTTTCCTCAAGTCCGGGCAGTTGCAGTTCCTTCCCGAACTGCCACGTCCGAAGGTTGACGCTATCTCTCGATCACAAATGGGCCAATGTATGAAAGTTATGGTCCAGTTTCCTGAAGCCTTCTGGCCTACGAACGCCTCGTTCATCACTCAGAGTTGCGATACCACTGGATTCAAGACCAATCGAATTTATTTCCCAGTGATCTTCAGCTACTACAGAGTAAAAGGAGTACCCATTCTCGAAGGTGACCTCATTGGAGATAGAGCTGAAGAGGTTTCCAGGACGCTTTCCGACCATGAGATCGCACACGCATTGTTCCTGCAGCTGCAAGAAATGTTTGGCCTTGAGATTCCTGAACCTGTTGGCCACTTTATCACGAGGTACGATGCATCAGACTGTCAGGGGTATGGTGCAGCTAAGTGTCGCTTACTGGGAGCTGCTTGTGATCTCTACATGTAGATGGGACCAAGACAAGTGGACTCGAGGTGCCTATAGCAGCGTCACTGTGGATAGCACTTACGAAGACCCAGACTTGTTGCGCCAGTCTGTTGCTGATCGCGTATTTTTTGCTGGCGAAGCCACGAATTATGAATACCAAGGTGCACTTCAAGCCGCATATCTCTCTGGTAAGAATGTGCACTTTACAACAGTTTTACACTCATGTTTGCTAACAAAGTATGTAATACGTGCAAGGTTGTCATGCTGCGGCTGAAGTCACCGCTGGGCTATCCCTAACTATATAAAACTCGGCAAGTTACCTTTTCTAACCGAGAAAGCATTGTGCTTCAATAGTATTGGAATTATGTTTCCAACGCTCCATAAACCCTCAGCTTTGGTTGTCTCTCGCCATGGGCGATTGAAACCCATCCGTAGCTGGAAGCGTTACCGTTCACCTATAGTTGGGCTAACGCCACTCTCAAGACCTCTGTGCATCACTGACACAGCGCAGCTCTACGTATTCGTGAATGTCCGCCGTCTTGAGAGCAACGGAGAGGGAAAAAAACCCACTTGGTGAAAGATTGCGGGTCTTTCGGAAGTCACTATCCGATCGTGAGGACTACAAGTACACAGTCGTGAAAGGTATTCTGACGTATTATGGTATTTTATCGATTTGAATACACATTCGGAGGATCATAGAGAGGCATCCAAAGCGTGTTGTTGGCAGAAATGCATTGGTCTTTGCACTTAAGTGCTATCTATCTCTAGGTCTTGACCTCCGTTAACGACGCCGATTGTGCTCGTAGCTTCAACTTCGACTGCGACTGTAGGTTCGACGACCTCGTCGGCGGCTTCGACTACTTCTCGATCGATCTGATGATCGACTGCGACTGCGTCTTCGACGGCTGCGTCGACGCTCACGTGATCCACTACGAGAGCGTGTGTCTGGACTCTTACTGCGATCACGTCGAGACTTGGCCAGTCCATCGTCCCATCGACTGCGTCGCTTCTCTGACGAGTTCAACTTCTGCTTGATCTCCTGCGAGTTCTTCTCCTCCGTCGTGGGTTCCTGAGGAGCAATCTCCTTCTCCACCTCAGCTTTTGCAGTCTCTTGTACCTTCTCCTGAACGTCTTCTTCTTCTTCCATGGGATGATCATCTACCTCGAATGGATTCGTCTCTGTCAGAGGCTCCAGCCACTGAATCTTCTCTTGTTTATACAGCTCCATGATGACCACACTAGCCGCATAGAGCTGCGTCTTGTCCACGTCAAACAACGAGTACCACGGAGGGTTCTCAGGTAGCGCCACCCCTTGAAATCTGCTAGCCAAGAAGATGGCAGCGCAGGCGATGACTTGAGCTTTGTATCGCACACAGAGATCGGTGCGTAGACTGTCGTTGATGTAGCCCCAGGCCTGCTGCGCTAACGCAGAGCTGCCATCTAGTACCTTGACATAGTACAACACATACTTGTGTGGATGTTCCGTGACACTGTAGATACTGAAACCTAAATCGATGAGCACTTGACGCTCCACCATGATGAGCCACATACGCCACTGGCTGAAGGTGGCGCCGTCCAAGTCCACGAGCTGTTGAGAGACGGTAGACCGCTGCCACTTGCGGCGTCGGAACATGGCGTAGAAGACGCCTATTACGTCCTTGATACGCTTGGGTTTCTCCTCCACTTTAGCAGCCAAGAAGAGGCAGCTCACGGCTACGCGGAAGGCGTCAAATTGGCGCAATGATTTGCGATAGTAGAAGCGCTGGAGAAGCGTCTGGGCCGTGGCCGTCACCACCTGTGGGAGACGCAATAACACGCCTGCCTCCTGGATAAGTTCACAGCCGAAAGAGCGGTGCAGACGCTCAGTGGTGGACGTCACACCATCTTCGAGCGAGGGCGAGCGAGCCAGCGAAGGCGCCGGCAGCACCACGTGCACTGGCACAGGTCTTGTCGCCATGAATGATACAAATATGACGTTTAAGTAAACCTATTGTTAAATTTCGTCCATGAAAGTTTTTTTTTAAATAATTAAAGGTTGCGGATGGTGTCTTGGCAAGTGCTGGATAATGGACTGGAGACGGACGTGACGTTCGAAGCGGAGGATGAGGAGGCATGGAGAGACTTTCAGAAGAAAGGACTTGGTGTTGCAGCGTTGAGCACGTTGCCGGTGTTGTCGGAAGCGATCGAAAAAGTGCCTAAAGCGCCGGCTCTTAATGGAGATGACACATTGGCTCCTAAGAGGAGGCGCCACTTGTCACTGCCCGAAACATATTACGCAGCGATCCACGGTGCTCTCCCGATTGACGAACCGTTGCGAGAATTATGGGAGCGGTTCAAGAGGTAAAGCTGCAATTATCACGAAAATGGTAGTCTAGGATTTACTAATCGATTGTTACGGGCAGCTCCAGTGTGACTTTTGCGAGAAACTTCATCGTTTACCAACATTTCCGACGCTTCGGTTGGGTTCCCAAATCCGGACTGAACTACGGAGCGCACTTCGTATTATATCGAGGCTCAGCCACGGACTACCATTCAGAATACATTGTATACGTGCAAGACGAGGACGAATCTTCGTCTTGGAACACCATTCAGTCGCTCACCAGGATAGCGGCAGATGTCAAGAAGACCGTGCTTCTGTGTACTGTGACGACTGCAACAACTGTCAGTGGAGATAGCTCAACCGACCTCATGTTCGGTGTATACAACTTCCACGACGTCCAGTATACAGTCGAAGGTGTTGCAATTCGCTTTTGGGACCCATCGATAGCCGACATACCGCAGTCCTACACGTTCCAACAACAACCACTGCTACCGAAGAAAGCCAAGAATACAAAGAAGAAGAACAAAGCGAAACGACCAAAGCATCAACCTTTTACAACATGAGGAAATTTTACGTAACATGATGTAACATTTTCACCCTATTTATCCCAGCACCACTTTTTCCAGAACGAGACCCACTGTCGACCCCAATACGAGACCAAAGTTCAAGAAGAAACTCGTAAAGGGGCCAATAAGGTGCTGCTCGTCACTGTGGACACTTTCACTCACGAAGATGATGGTCAACGTCCCCAGGTAGCCATTTCCAAACCCGAGAATCAGCACACTAAGCACCGACCAAATGTCACTTTGAAGCCACCACTCTTTGACGATGCCGATGATGATCGGGACCAAGATGAACCGCGTCATGATCGGGATCCACACGTTGCTGGGCGTGAGGCCAAAGCGATGATTCACAATAAATCGCCCCGCACAGTCGCTAATGGAGAAGAGTGTGAGCAGGATCAGTGACCACCAGCCACTCTCCTGTAGCGACGGGAAGTTGAACGTCTTGATCTCTGTAACAAGTGGCGGCCAGACTGATAGACTAGCGAGGAAGACCATCGAGATCAGCGCCTCCAAGTGCCACACCTTCTTCAGTACCGTCCACTTGGTCGGTGCAGGCCCAGTTACACTGAGCGAGTCACTATCTGACTGCCGCGTCTCTGCAAGTAGCGGTGAGCGCTCCGTCAGCTCCACGCTGCTGTCTGCCTTGCGGAGCAAGTACTTTGTAGTGATCTTTAGGTTCATGACCTTGTAGAACGCAGCGATGCAGAGCGCAATCGTGAGCGCTCCAGTATAAAAGTAGATGAGGGAGGACGCTAACAGTTCATTAGACGGGAAGACGAGCTTGGTCAGGTCTCGATAGAGACTGCCGATGAGCGTACTAAGTCCGACTCCAAGCTGGAAACTCTCTTGTACTCGTCGGGGATAGTGCGATACCAGCGCGATGGTGGAGCTGTCAATGAATGCAGTGGCAATGGAGGCCACAGCCGTGCCACCCAATACTGCGGAGGCATTGGCGTTCTCGGACGTGAGGAAGAAATACGAAGTGGGTACGAAAGCGAGCACCAAGAGCTGACCCACGAAGCCTCCCACGATACGGCCCTTGTACCAGGGTTTACTGAAGACCACGACGATGACGCCCAGGAAGACGAGGTTTGTGTACATGAAGGTGGAAGTGAGTGCGAACTCGATGTTAAAGTCCGGGAAGAGGAAGTTCCAGTAGTCCACAGGCTGTGTCAACGCCGAGAAGGGGAAGAGGTAGCCCACACCCACGAGAGCGAACAGCCAGCAAGCTTGCGTCTCCTCCTGCGCCTCCTTGACAGCAGTTTGCACGCTCCCCTCGCGCTGCTCTTCTAGAGAGATCTCGGCATCGTACGAGAAGGAAGCGCGGCGGATGCCTGGCGTACGCGGCAACGGCGACAACATAGCGAATGAAGCTGGTGTACACACGTCTCAGATATTTCTCGATTAAGTGCGATTAGCTGATGTGTAGCCATTTCTAATTATGCTTAGGGAACGGAACACCTTCGTTCTCAAGGCTCGGAGTGGCAGTGATGAGCGACTGCATGCAATTACGCTCAATGTGAACGTGAGAGAGCAGGATTTGACTCATTTCAATGGTAGAAATGGGGCTGGAGCGGATAAAGCGGTGCAGGTGAGGGAAGTCTTTGTTCAAGATCGATGGTCTCACGTTGTTGTTGCTACTGCCAGCGGTTGCTGGAGCTGCTGGACGACGATGAAGCGTTCCAGGCGCTAGTGCGTGAAATTAGCGATCTGCGCCAGCTGGACCAGCTGATCAAGACGAAGGCAAAGGACGGCACGCACACGCTCGAGCTACCGGACGTGACGGTGCAGTGGCAGGTGGCCGAGGAGCCTGGTCTACCCAGCGTCTTGCAGCGCGTACAGGACGATGGAGATAGTCAATCGACTACTGGACGAGTGCCGAGCACTACCGAACCGGCGGGGAAGTATCGTCCGCTACCCGTGCGAAAACTGGTCGTGGCTGTGTGGATGTATCCACCTCACGTCGAGATCCCTCCGACGGGGGACCGGATTCCAGTAGCCAGCGACGCGAATAAACAGGATTTTTTTCGCAAGGACGACGCAGGAAGCGTAGAAGGCGCTGAAGAGTAGGCTGTGATAATATAACGATGACAGCATTTGTATCATTGGCCTCGCGCTTATCTTGTCGTCGGACTACTCTTGAGTTGGACCTCTGAGCTGAGCGAATGACCGCCTTGCAACAAAGGAGAATGGTTTACACATGCTTCTCAATGCACCCGTACCATTCTTTGTCAACGAGAGTATTAAATTGCCATCTCAGAACAAACGTTCTTTTCTTGCAGACATTCCTTGAAGCGGATCAGTTGAAAAGCATCCAGCTCTCCATGCCAATTGTCCTTCTTCAGCCCCAAGAGCAAGTCATGGGCTGCGTTGCTGGCACGGAACAGCATGGGGACACTGCATTCCAGTCCTCAGGTAAGCGGTCGGTTCGGATTATTGAAAGGTGGTTGAAGCTGAATGCCATCCGTTTAACTTGAACAGGAGAGCTACGGGGCGTACTGAGGTTGGTAAACGGCGTATAATGAAGAAGCTCCAATTGGAACTGAGAGATCAATTTCATCATAGATGGGGTGGACTTCGCTCGACCAATCTCATCATTGGCGTAAGTTTAGTTATGATCAATCGAGGTGTAGTTACTAAAGTTTAACACCGACACAGGTCGATTTTACACGTTCGAACATGGTACCACATCTCGGTTTGTGGTAGTGGAATGGCAAGCTTTCATTCAGAGGACGTAGTCTGCACTTCATTGAGGTACTCAATCCTTACCAGGTACAATTGTGTCGATTCGACAGAGCTGGCTAAGTAGCTGACTGTACTATCGACTACATCGTAGATCGTTATTAACATCATCGGCCACACTCTGCACTCACGCAAGAGCAAGCAACCAATTCACGTCTTTGGCTTCGGGGACTCTCAAACGGCTGATCAATGTGTCTTCACATTTTCTCCGACGGAAGTCCGTGTCGAGGTGTGGAGCACGTCCTGCGGTATACAGACATCACCCCGGATCTTGTGCTAGGAGGGCCCACCAACTTCGCCCCTATTATCTACCACGCCATTCGTCAAGTCAAAGCGAGTGAAAAGTGTCGAATTCTCGTCATTATCGCGGGTAATGCACACCCATACACTGTACATGTAGTAGCCAGGTGCTTTTGTCTAAGAATCTAACAAGACTACATGAGCTATAGATGGCCAGGTTACAAACGAGAAGGAAACATCTCAAGCCATCGTCGAAGCCTCCAAATATGCACTATGTACGTTCTCCAATATGAACAAACAACATGGATCACTCACACGTCCAATTACGCCATAGCAATCATTGTCGTTGGTGTTGGTGATGGCCCATGGGGAGAGATGGAGCGAAACAAATCCATCTTCCCCGAACGTAAATTTAAGAATTTCCACTTCATGAATCTCAGCGAAATTATGTGTGAAAACCCCGAGCAGCCAGCTTTAAGCTTCGCTATTGCAGCTCTAGCGCACATTCCAGGTACTTTGTCGATTTCTTGTACTGTACTGAGCTCTAACTTGACGTCTGTTGCGCAGATCAACTCGCGGCAATTCGCAGACTGAGACTTTTGCAAACTATGTATTACAAAGGACGAATGACATGCAGCAAATATTGCAATAAAGGTAAAGTTTTATCTGCATGGGAGCATGCTTACAGGCGACTTCGATACGCTCCAATCTTCTCGTTCTCTTGCAGTTGAAGCACACGTCGCAGGATCTTTCCGGACAAGCTCTTTGGAATGCTCTCGACAAATTCCACCTCACGGACGCGCTTGTATCCCGTCACTTTCATGGCTACATAGTCCATGAGCTCCTCCGCCGTCAACGTGCTGTCTTCTTCCAGCACGACGTAGGCCTTTGGAATCTCCTCTCCAGTCTCCAGATCGTGTCCACGCACACAACCAGCATCGGCCACTTGAGGGTGCGAGTTTACCACATCTTCCACTTCAGCAGGTGCGACTTGGTGTCCTTTGTACTTGATGAGCTCCTTCAGTCGATCCACGACGAACACGAAGCCGTCGTCATCGATATATCCGATATCTCCTGTGCGAAGGAAGCCATCCTCGGTAAAAGACTCGCGTGTGGTCTCTGGGTTATTGAAATACCCCTTCATTAATGTGGGGCCACGAAAGAGCAGCTCGCCGTGTTCGTTTGGTTCCAAATCAACACCCGTTTCCAGACATTTCACCTTAAGTTCCACGTTAGGATACAGCATTCCTGACGAGCCTTCGCGATGGCTAGAGATGGAAGAATGGGTCCCAACGCCAGCGATCTCCGTCAAGCCGTAGCTCTGAAGAACCTGCACGTTCAGACGCTTCAACACCGCTTGTTCTAGTTCTTTCCCCAACGGTGCACCCCCAGAACTGGCTTGAGTTGTCGCTGATAGATTGTACCTGTCTACGAGCGGGTGTTGGGCGAGGAACTTGACGAGTGGAGGGGCAAGATGAAGGCGTTTGATCTTGTACTTCTCGGCTGCACGAAGCAAAGACTTTGGCTGGAAACCCGGTAGCACGACCATCGACATTCCCATATACAGACTGATGTGGAAGATCAAAGTGGCCATAATGTGGTAGAACGGCAACACCCCCAAGAGATAATCCATCTTCTCGACGGTATAGGCAGGAATCATCCCAGCAGCGAACATCGATCGAGCTGTCAGCTCCACACCCTTTGGACGACCAGTCGTACCACTGGAAAAAGGCAACGTCACGACTTGGTTCGGGTCGATCGGAGGGAGAGTCGGGAAGGGCAGATCCAGGTCGATCAGGTGTCTGATACCCGATAAGGGCTCGTTAGAAGTCGATTCTATTTAGCTACAAGAGTGGAAACGTACTCGATTGTCTGCAAGGAAGCAGCACTGCGTGTATCGCCTATTGTGTAGACCTGCTCGCTAGAAATTCCGTGCGTTGTTGCAGCCTTCATAGCCACTGCTGCAAACTTGATGTGCGAAATCACTGCCACCGCCTACATTCCTGTCAGTTTATGCTGCATAACCGCAGCTCTTTAATAATCGACATGTACCTGAGCCGCTTCGATCTGATCAGCCAATTCTTGCGCAGTGAACTGAGGAGACGAAGGCGAGCATATCGCTCCCAGTCGGTTCAGAGCCAGAAAGATCAAGGGGTACTCGATGCAGTTCATCGAGTGTAAGATCACAATCTGCACCACATCAAGTTTACTGTTATTTTCCATTGCAAGGTATTGCAGTCACATTTATTACACTTACGTCGCCCTTCTTGAGACCGTTGGCAGCAAAACCAGCGCACAAATTCTTGGCCATACGAAGAAGTTGCACGTACGAGATCGTCCGCTCCGTCACGTCGCAAATGAACGCTGGCTTATCGCCAATACTACGCGCATGTTGCTCGACCACATTCCAGATCGCTGCGTCCTCTGGAATGGGTAGCGTCGGGTGGCGAGATGTGAAGATCATTGTGCTCAAAAGGTGACAATTGCGAAGTGGCACCAAAAATGCTGCTTGGATTCAGACTGCTGATTGGCGGAAAAGTGAGAAACCACTTCAACTTGGTATCATTATCCAGAATCAGCTTGTCGACTCAACATTTGTGGCAGTTACTGGCAACTTCCTTTACCTTTTGGTTACTATTTTGTTGCTTTCGTCTTCTAATGCATTTCTTTTGTCTTTTTGTTGCTTCTTCATGTCTTTGATTGCCTTGCCGACTGCGCTCATCACGCCATAGTCTCCCGGTGCCGTGTAGAAGCGAAGCTGGAGCTGCGCCACCTCCTTCTCCATTGCCTTTTGTTCACATTCGGCCTTCGTTCGACTCAGATCATTGGCGATGTGTTTTAACTCGTCAGTCATAACTGCGACACGATGACGCAATCGATCGTTCGTCCGTCTTGTGGCTAAGCAGTCGGTCTGAAACCTCGCGCGATCCTCCTCTAAAATACGTTTCTCTTCCTCTAGCTGGGAGATCCACAGATTCTTTTTCTGCAAGTCGTTAGACAGCGCGTCGAAAGGACGAGAACTGAGCGTTGCGACAGTCTCGTTTAGCTTGATGTTCTCACTTCGAAGAAGGTGAACTTCTTGCTGCAAATCGTCCAACTGCGCCGATTGATCAGAATAAACCTGGAGTTTCTCTGTCTGTGCTGCTAGCTGTTGTTGGGCCTCGACCAACTGCGTCGTAACTTCCTCCAAACGAGAAGTAGTTTCACGGTAGAGCGCCGTCTTGACTCGCGCCTTTTCTTCGAGATGCTGATAACGCGCCTCCAGCACCTTCACTTGCTGGAATAATGTGTTCACGCTAGCATGTAGCTGTTCCTGATCCGCGTCAATAATAATACATGTAGTACTATTGCCCTCTGTTTGAGGTAGAATTTTCGTCTCGTTAGGTTTCTCGATCACTTCGTACTTAGCGAGCTCTGTCCGCAGTAGCTCGTTCTCCTGCTTTAACCGGTCTAAGTCCACTTCGAGATCGCGCAAGTGTGTTCTTAACTCTTGTAGTAGCGGATGCTGCGCTAACTCGATTATGTTTAAGGTTGATGCTGGAGGCTTGAGATTGGATTGGTTGTTAATCGTCTTGTTTTGTTTATCGCTGCACTTTTTAGTTGTTGCAGATTTTGTCTTTGTTGCACAAATGCTCTTGTGCTTTGTTTCCATAGGTTGCGGAACCTGAATTGGCACACGATGCTTCTTGGATCCGGGACCTTCAAACTTTAGATGGCAAAAGTGCAAATGAAAACCATTACCGCTGAAACAGACTAGCGGCCATGCAGCAGACAGACCTGCATTAGACGCCGCTGCAACGCTCGCGTTTCTTGACGCAACGCATGGTTCTCGTCAACGAGCTGTTTGGTAAACACGTGGTTGTTCGGTAGCGCTGGCACGTTCTTGACGACAGTGAGCGACCTATCAAAACGCGAAATAACAGCAGCTTTTAGCTTGCATTCGCTACGATCAACACCTCGCACATGACACTCGCTAGTCGAGCCAACATACTTGCGATGAGCGTCTTCAACCTCAGCCAGGCGGTTCTTCAGTCGCGTGTTGGATTCTGCTAGCTTCTCAGCGCGATCCTGCCAGCCTAGGGCCGCAGAGGCCAGCGCCTCCTGCGCCATTACCACCACGTCATCTGTCTTGCGAGGGGCCGGCCTCGGTGAAAGCACGGCCCTGCTGATCTCATGGCGCTCGCGAGAAGGCATCGTTCTTGCAAAAGATTGGAAACCCCGACAGCGTCGCAGATAAAAGTAGCCACTGCTTTTGGCCCAGCGAGTTCAGCGAGGCAAATCGCGCCGCAGGATCGATCTCGAGAGGGCGCAGCGATCTTAGCCGTGATGGGGCGATCGAGCTTGCCAACAAGTGCAACCGTAAAACAAAGCGTGGTTGAAGTTGCCTTTTTGGCTTCAGATATTTTTCTCAAGAGAGCGGGTTTTGTATGGGCTTTTGTTGCTCGCGCCAATCACATGAATATGGCGATCGATCGGACGACCTCTTACAAATTCGACTCGAAGCGTGTACAATACTGTTAATTTAACAGTGTTATTAATAAATGGCAGTGCTTTAATGACCTGGCAGCCTCGTCGCTTTCACGCCCACTACCCCATGTACAGCACCGGTGGCAACTTACGTTCATAAGCGGAGGAGTTCTCGCAGTAAAGCGCAAGAGGGTCGCGACAATCGGCCACAAAGGTCCTACGTGCGTAATGGTAATGAGGCGCGCAGGGCGGAAGACGCCAGTAGTTCACTTGTCCACACTTGAAGTGGTCACGCCGCGACTGGACCAAAGCCTTCATTTAGTAACCTAATGCTGCTGCACTCACGGCATTTCGATGGTTCTCCGTCATAATGTTCTGCGTCGGCTTAGTTACCGTCGATTTGGACGGGCCCCCAGCTGCAGACGGCAGACGCTTCTCCATACAACTCGAGCCCATGTAGCGCAGGTCCGCAGAGGAATTTTAGTCCTGGCTAAGTTCCAAAATTCCGGAAGATGTACTGATTTATGCCAAAACAACTTCTTTTACACACAAATTTTCTCAAGTCATTTCAGACCTTTTGTAACGTATTATAGTACCTGGATAGTTTTATGCTCTTTCTCAACGCCGGGTTGCGCCAAAAATACCTGTGTTTTTGTCCATTTCCTTTTCAGATACCCTTTTGCGGAACCTGGCGTCTTACAAACTTCGACTGAAATTTTCAGCTGCTTCACATTTTAGGTTGCTGCCCGTCCCCTACGTGAATTTTGGGCACTGTGGCACATTGCATAAAGACGTCGATAGCCAGGGCCACTGACTCGCCCCTCCCGGTCAAGAAAAGCGAGCCGCATTTCTCAATTGTCGCAACTCCATCGGTTTCCTCTTGCGTTGGGCATTTGGATTCTCGCGCGTCTAACATTTGACAACTCGACGGTGCTCTACCCCTCTCAGTCCGCGTCTATCGAAGTCGCACCTCCATGATGAACTCTCAGAGCAACGCAAATATGAATGTCTCGGCGCTGCAGCCATCGCTTTCGCCGCAGTCCGTCACGCGCCGCGTCACAGTCGCCAACGATGGCGAAATGTACCACCAACGCGCATCACACGCCACCATCGAGCGCGCTCCCAGCACCGGTAGCAAAGTGGACGTGCAGATCCTCAAGAAGCTGTCGGCCTCGGTCTCCCATTTCGAGGGCCCGCGTAAGAATCTTAGCTTCGTCGTGTCCGTGGAGACGCTGATTCCCGGTCGCCGCGCCTTCTCGGACGAGCGCGAGTCCTGCCAGCTCGTAGCCCGCTCTTTTGATGACTTTCGTCGTTTCCGCAAGTCACTTCTCGCTCGTGTTGGCAGCCTCCACAACCCGTCGCTTCTTCTATCTGGACGCAGCGGCAAGTGCCGCTGTGAAGCCGGCAATGGCTGCCCCTTTGACGTGACGCGTAGTTTCCTGGAGCGACTTAAATTCACGCGGATGCCCTTCCTCAGTCTGGGCGAGAGCGAGGCGGACCTTACCAAGCGCCAGCAGGAGATGAACAACTTCCTCCACATTATCTTTGCCATCCTGCACCGCATGCAGCCTGGCTCGTGGCACACGGAGTGCAAGTTCCTACAGGACGTGATGGCCTTCCTGGAGGTGGAGGAGTCATTCTCGTACCAGATTGATCGGCTTTTAAGATCGAGGAACCGCCACATGAGTCTGGACGGCTGGAAGGCGCACACCCTCGAGACTTTTGGCTCGGGTATCGGCGTATAAATGCCTGCATCGTTACCAGCCTGTGGTCTCTGGATCCACGGATCACGACCGAAGGGGTTCGCTGCCTTCAGAGTCACAGTGGGTAGACGCCTGGCGTCTCATTATTTTATTTATTTGAAGACGAACGTCAAGTATTAGCATTTTTGCCTCTTGCAGCGTGCAAGTTGCAAATGCAAAAAACACAAAACAGCAACTTTGTCACTTGAACGAGTGCTACATTTATTAACACGAATGCCATTTTTCAAACTTTCCGCTTTTGTCTCAAAATCGTGTTGAAATTCTATTCGGCAACAGGTAACAGTGGAAAAGTCACTTGACGCAACAGCTCCATAGGTCCACCGTGGGTCTCGAAGAAGACGCGTTGCTCGTTGTTGCGCACGAAAAAGGACCCAATGAATCCAATCGAGTTCACTTCGATGCCGTTGAAGCTTTGTGCTTTCCTCGGGATCAAGAAGAGGAAGGACGACGTAAGAAGCAGGTTGTAGGCCAGTAGGGAGGACGGTGCCGATGAAGTGGCCGCCGGTCTCGGATATTCTATGCCGTTCATCTGCTGGAGGACTTTGTCATAGATAGTACCAATGTGTGCGGCAGCCTTCTCGCTGTCAACATCATTGGCGATATCGATGCGATGGAGGAAATGGCAGAACGGAAGCTCTGGCAGCTGAACCGTCTCTGTCATTGGATACTCGTGCAACTTTTGGTCGATGAAGTGCAGCAACGGTGGCTAAGAGGACAGCAGCGTAAATTATTAGCTTTAGTATTGGATACGCAGAGCACCAAGATTAAGCATCATCGTTACCATGTCGAGTCCCGTGATCACTTTCATGGACGGATACGTCATGAGCTGCATGTGCTTGTGCGGCTGGCTAGGGACAGCAATAGGATACACATTAGCACACTCATCAATTCCATAACCCTCACTACACCCTTCAAATCGATTGACGTTTACCTGGCACCACTCTCGAAACCGCAGTTGAAGAAGGCGAAGGCGTCGAGGCCCTCCATTGCAGTCCACATGGCTCGAAAATCGGCGGCATTCAGTGGTTCTTCCTGCGGTGCGAACTCGATCGTAGGAAGAACCACGTGCTCATCGACGACATTAAATTTGTTAAGCACGAGGTTGTGCGTGCCGTGGAGTTGCGTCACGAACAAATCCTGCTCCAGGTTCTCCTTGGAGAAGGGGTTGCGGAACGCCTTTGGTTTGGCGTCCTTGACTTCCGCCGGCTTGGGCTTGTTATGTGTGGGGTCCGCTGCCCATAGAATGTAGCAGATACCATTATCCGATGCTGGTAGCAGCTCGTAGCCTGCCGTGAGCTTTTTGAGCGCCTGCGACTGCGTCGCCCGCTGCGTCACGTCCAGCATGCTCTTGCGCAACATCTTGGTTAGTGTTTGCAAAATGGAATTTGGATTTTTTGGGCTTTGGGTTTAATAAATGACCTCCTCAGCGATTTTAAAGAGCGGGTTTATTTGGTAATTTCGAAAAGTATGAAATATTTCATTAGTTTTCAACGGTCCTAGCGGTAAAAAGCCAACGCACCTCTGATTAACGAACGCATGGACAGCCCCCCCACACTCACTTAGAACCACACCAGGTGTCGGCACGCTAGCGAGACAGTGCTGGATGAATTGGTCTCCTTAAATGTCGGATCTCGCAGGAGATTGGTAGGAGATAAACATGAGATCATGAAGATCTTAAGACGTCGCAGGCATGATGAGATGGCGAGCGACCTCAGGAGGATGCGAAGGTGAGAATCGGAGTACGAGAAGAGGAAGAGTTGTAAAGAAACTCCTATTGAGGAGAATGCATATTGCGCAAGACCAGAAAACAAACTTTCATAACATCAAAATACAATCAGTCTTCAATCTATCGCGTCGAGCACACTCAAGCGCATTAGAGCGCTGCTGAAAAAGCGCACTATAAACAACAGGTTATGAGCCCAACTGGTTCCGATGAGGCCTCACAGCGACCACACCCGCCAGACATCCAAGACCCTGATGTTCACGGGCTGAACGTGGCGGTAGACCCGTTCAAGCTGTTTGAAGTGACGCACTCCGACTCCGTTGCATCTGATGCCAATGATCAGGGAAGCCGGAACTCGAGCGTCGCAAGCGCATTAGAGTGCTACTAAAAAAGCGCACTATAGACAACAGGTTATGAGCCCAACTGGTTCCGATGAGGCCTCACAACGATCACACCCGCCAGACACCCAAGACGCTGATGTTCACAAGCTGAACGTGGCGGTAGACCCGTTCAAGCTGTTTGATGGCACGCATTCCGACTCCGTTGCACCTGATGCCAATGGACAGGGAAGCCGAAACTCGAGCGCAGCTCAGAGCGACTGAATAGACTTGAAGGACTTCGAAGGTTCGGCAAAACAACAAGCGCAGTTCATGGCTAACCAAGCTGAACTGCAGAAGCAGCTACAACAGCCCACATCACCCTTAGAGTACAAATACGGCGAATCGAGCGCATTTACGGACTTTATAAAGGCTTGAGCACAACGTATGAGAGTAGGATCACTAGATACGTCGATGAAAACGGTGACGCAGGCAAGACCAGCTCCTGAGGTGGCAACGCCACACACGGAAGACACGCCGAACGTGCAGAGATTAATAAATGTACCCATGGCAGAGCTATTTGTGTTACCACCGAGCTTTGGAGTCAAGGTACCAAAGCCACGAGACCTGGACTGGGCGGGCTTCGCGAATATCCAAGGCAAGGAAGTGTATTCCGACCTTGGTGCTGACTTTAAAACGGGGGGGGGCTAAGGTTCCTACAAATACTTGCTGCAGCACTGCAAATGAGCGGAGGAGGCTGGTCAGAAGAATTCTGAACTCTTGCTCTAAACGGTAAATTGGAAGGGACAGCACTAGTATAATCGAAAGGATGCTTCCGCTCTGGACGGCGGAGTCACCAACGCTGGAGCACGTGAAGAACCGCATGTTAGTGCCACACATGACGACGATCACGGCGTGCAAAGGGCTGCAGCTGGTGACTGCAGAGAAGCGTCAAGACAGAGCCTGGGCAGAGCATTTCCAGTACCTGACGGACGTGGCTGAACGCTCAGGATGCTCTGATCTACATGTATTGCAGTGTTTGTGCAAGTCGGCTCCCGTGTTTCTACGAAGTGCGATGCTAACGAGACTGAACTCGCAACGCGTGGACTATTTGCAACAAGCTACAGAGTTAGTGGCCTTTGCGATCGAATACGAAGCAAGTATTGCCAAACATGATCAGTTTCGTGGACTTGGGAGCCGTGGTAACAAAGGACACGGTGGTCGGCACTACGGAGATAGCCGAGGAAGCCACGACGGACAAGGAAATGAGAAAGTTGCCCGCGTGGGAGGCAACAAGACTCGTACGTGTTTCAGTTGCGGCGAAGATGGACATAAATAAAAATAATCCTAAGAAGAAGAAAAATAGGGGAACAAAGGAAATTAAGGTATCACTAGCCATCGGGACCGGCATGAACGATGGTACACACGTACGGATCTTGGACAGCGAATGCAGCGTGCATTTGGTCAAGTCTGTAGAACTACTGAAGAACATTGTCGACTGCGACGAACAATATAGAGCAGCTAATGAGGAGCCTATCCGGGTGATCAAGAAGGGCTCAGTAGAGTTTAGGACTATCGTAGATGATAGAGAAGTCGAAATGAACATATTAGATGTTCATTATGCTGAAAATTTGGCCGACAATATCCTGAGTTACGGCAGAGTAGATATGCAGGGTGTGTTTCTGGAGAGGCGTGACGACAAGAGCTACATGGTAAAATTCGTTACATTATACTTTAAGATTACCTTTCTTTGGATATGTACTAGTGGGGCTATAGCGGATATGCAAATATAGAATGAGCCCGATGGGTAGGAGAAAGATGGTCGAGTAGACGTAAGCTGAAGAGCTCGACTGGGGTCCCGAAAAGCACTTCCGAACAATTGATGAGTTGATGTTTCTCTAGGCTTGATATCGCTTGTAATCACATGGGTAGGGTGCCACTGATGAAACGAAACCGTAAAAACACCGGCGAACGCCTTTAGTCGGGAGGTTGCGGATCCACATGCGAGAGTGCAGCGACAGACAAGCAGCTGGGTGTGATCGATGGGGAGGTTCTTGGACCAAACCAAACATCATGGGAATGCTTGAGAATGGGAAGCTTGGGACAGATTTTGTTAACATCATGAACGAAGACGTTGGATTGTCGTGGCCAGCGTTGCGACGAGACGGATGGTTGCGTATTTTTCTGGTTGCTAGGCTTCTTCCATTTGCACGGTTTGATCAACCACCGGTTGAAGTCAGTTGGTCGGGATGTTACGTGGCGTACCGTTTTGTTGTAACCTGGTAACCTCGGAGAAGGGGCTGGTGCGATGGGTTTCCAGAGGCCGATTTTTTGTTTTAAGGCCGAGTGATTACTTCCATTGCCGTGTCCAGTCGAAGAGAAATCCGCGCGATACCGAAAGGTGGAGTGCGGAGAGGGGACTCTGAAAATGTTCGTGAGTCAGGGTGTTGTTTTCTTTCCCAACAGAGGCCGTAGCCAAGAGCAAGCGGATGGGTAATATGTCGTTGCCTCATGCCGATGGCGTGTAGTGCTATTGGTGACCGATGCGTCTCGTGAGAGTTGCGTTTTCCAGTCAGGATCAGTTGGCGACGTTGGCTCTGCCGACTAACACCAGCTGCCTTTCTGGCACTAGGTGCTAGGACATCGCGCGGTCGCAGTGACGAAGCATGATCCTTGATTCAAGAGCTCGAAGAGTACTTGGAGATTGACGGGCGAAAGCCTGTCTACCCGCGCTCCAGAGATAATGGAGTGGAAAAAGAAGATCTCTAATAGAGAATCTAATAAACCAACTTGGTTTCGCAATCGCAAAGTAGTGTAGAGCGCAACGAAGGCGAAAGTGCCAAAGTCGAAGGGAAAGACTCGAAAATGTCGGGAGTCGTGCGTCGAAAAATAAAAGCTTGCTCAATTGCCAAAGTCGTGAGAGCAAGTCTCAAACCCAGTGTTAGGGAGGTAGTACTTGAACATGACGTCGGGTAATAAAGTCCATAGTAAAATCGCGAAAATTGGCTCGAAAATAAACAGCGAGTGGACTTAGCGAAATCAGCGTCGCCTTATTCTTCGAAGAACGTAAAGGGGTCCGAGTCGAAGTCTCGTAGCCATTCACACTTGAAAGCTAGTAGGTGAGATTTGTACGTCGTACACTCCAGCTTCCTCGGATTAGTAAGGCTCTTGAACAACCGCTGGAAGTGTAACCGCATTGTAGCTAAGCTCTGCCGGTAGACACCCACGAAGGAGAGAGCAGGGCCGTCATATATAGCCTTGTTTCGATTCATCCAGAGTGCTCGGAAGACACAGCAGCGTACGATATTGAAGAGCCTGATCGGTAGAGAAGTACCGTATGTGTCTTTAGCCACTGGTGGCACTTCGACGCCTTGAAGAAAGAGTACTTGGTCCCAGGTAAATTCCAGCTGAAGAATACGCCTAAAAGGCGGGAGAAAAAAATGCCACAGACGGGAGGCCAGGATGCAGTCCCAAAAGAGGTGCTTCGCCGTTTCCGTGTCGGGGCAGCGATGAACGCACTGGGTATCCGCGGTGTGCCAGCCGTATTTGTAGCGGAAGCCCAAACCATTGTGCTGTAACCGGAACAACAGATCGCTGAAGGTCGGTAGTGTATCTCGTTGAAAAACGCGCTCTGTGGCCCAAAATGAGGCAGGCAACACAGTATTGGGAGCACCGAGTCGCTCCAGTGGAAGAGGAGGAGGTGCGGTCGCGGCTAAGAGACGCCGTATGGTCGAGTTCGTGGCGTGCACAATGTCGTGGCCATCGAAGGTCCAGACATGAAGCGCCGCTATCATATTCTCGGGTGGAAGCGGATAAATGGCGAAGGAACCGTAGTGGGCAGGGATAGCCACCCGGGGGGCGAGCGCTTTCACAACCACGGTCTTGGAGCGATCACTCTTAATGGAGGAGCCGGCAAGGGCCACTCGGAGTGTGGACTCATCGGGTATCCATCCGAAACAGCAGCAGAAAGTCGAGATTCTGAGGATGCCCTGATGACTGAGGAACTGACTGGCCTTACTTGGGCTTATAAGTGCGGCAAGTGTTCTACGGTCATTAGTGAAGCGAAGGAAGGTGTTGTTCCAAATGGGCCAGGTAAGTTTGGTGAAGACCGGGTTGGCATTGACCAGCTTGGGCAGAATCTTGGTACTCCAGGTAGCCAGAGCGGCTCGCCAGTACTGGGGGACCTTCTTCCAACGGGAGGTGTGGGCCCAGTGGGATAGCGGAATGTAGAGGAAATCCAAACCGGTACCTTGACCTGCAAACGCCTCGTCAAATGTCGCCTGGGCAGGGATGAACCACTTGGGGACAGCAGACAGGTCCCGACGACATTGACGAATAAGTTGGCGGATGAGGTTGACCTGCAAGAGCTCGACGGACGTTGCCACGGAGGGTAAGTCTAAGCCTCCAGCTTGGGACGCAATTGCATGCCATTTGCTGGGAAATTGGCTTCGAGCGGCGGGATCTTCCACCGATGTCGACGGAGTGTTGTTGACAAAATTACGCATGAGAGCGTCGAACCGCAGTAGTTCTACCCGGGGGATTGCTTGAGTACCCAGGAAATGCCACAGGATAGATAAGATCATCGTCTTCATTAGGAGAACTCGGCCACGAAGCGTGCGGGCTCTCCAACGCCAGATCACACATAATTTCTGGAAACGTACGAGGAGCTTGCTCAGTTGAAACTGTGGAGTGCAACACGGTCCAACGGTAAGTCCAAGTAGCTGCGTGTGGCCATCGTTATCAAGGATCTTTGCTCCACAAGTGGACAAAAGGTGGCGGAGGTCCTCGTCAGCATTGGTCCACGGTCGAAACGGGAAGATTACCGTTTTATCCACATTGAGCCGCATACCAGTGGCAGCGCAGAAATCTTGAACACGTGCTAGGAATATCGGAGCTTTGTGGAGATCGTTCACCAGTCCCGTCACGTCGTCAGCAAAGCTGAGAATGTGGTGAGGTGTCGAACGAATTTTGATCTCAAAGTCCGTGTTAAGCGCCCGAAGGTAACAGAGGAGCGGCTCGATAAAGAGTACGAAGAGCCCGGGAGAGAGAGGGTCACCTTGACGGACTCCCGCACCGAGGCTGAAGAAGTCAGACCGTGAAGTATTCACGAGGACTTGAACGAGCGTGCCTTGGAAGAACGTCTGGACCCACCTCCGAAAGTTAGGACCAAAACCCCAGTGTTGTAATACCGAGTCTAACGCTTGCCAGTTGACACTATCGAAAGCCTTGGCAAAATCAAGGCAGATCGCACCGGCTGGGTCACGTGAGTCTTTCAGCTTGCAACGATCCATCAGATCCAAGAAGTACCGGAGAGCGTGGCGAATATCACGACCTGGCACAAAACCGTATTGGTCCATACCCAAAAGTGTGGGTAGGATCTGGTTGAGACGAAACGCCAGGGCTTTAGGCCCAAATTTGGCATCTTGATTCAGCAGTGTGAGAGGCCGGTAGTTCTTCGGATCCGAGCGGGAGCCTTTCTTGAATAGAAGCGAGAGATAGGCTCGACGTTGAAATTTGGTCATACGTCCCATCCGGAATTGAGACGCATAGACTAACTCCAAGATGAGAGCCCATTGCGACGGGAAGAGTTGGTAATACTCAGCCGGCAAGCCATCGGGTCCCGGTGCTTTCCCTCGAGCGGTAGTCTTGATGGCGTAGTAGAAATCATTCGCTGTTAGCGGGGCGTCGAGAAGCGCTTTGTTAGCGGTCGTCAATCTCCGGAGACTGTGCTGAAGAATCGAATGGAGCTTAGCTCGATCAAAGGGACGCTTGGGGGCAGCAAGATCTCTGGAGTCAGACTGGAATAGCTTACCCCAGTATTCTCGGTGGGTCGCTTTGATAACTTCCGGGTCGTGTGATATACCCGTCGGAGTGTCAACCGAGGATATACCCAACTTGAGTTCGGCCGTGGCTGGAGCACGGAAGAAGGTCTTGGACGATTTCTTGGCTAGGGCAACATCGGAGTCGAATTTGGAAATAGCGTTGCGCTCACGTAACGCCGTGCTAAAGTCGGAAAAGGCTTGTCGGGTTTCCTCGAGACGCCGTGCATTAGCATCACTAGAGGTTATAGCGAAAGACGCTTCAGACTCGCGAAATTCGACCAGGAGGCGGCGAAGCTGGGTTGCAGTTGCTCCTTTCCTTCGAAGATACTCGCGGCTAAGAAAGATTCTATCACGCCGTTTGTGCTCATCGAGAATACAGCCTGGATTGCGCGTAGGGTCGAGGCAGCTAAGAAGGTGCTCAAGGTTTAGTTGGAGCTGGGCTTGAACATTTTCGCACCGGAGTAGCCAGGGGGGGCACTTGAAAGGAAGCTTGTCGCGTGGAAGAGGGCTGTCGGAGGAGGCTGAAAATTCGACAGGGATATGGTCACTGTTGCCGAGTCGAAGACTGAAGGCGTGACCAGAGGATCGGATAAACTTGTCGTAGAAATCCACACTAGCGAGACAGTAGTCTATACGGTTTTTCGACTGGGGCCAGTAAATTCTTGTGTACTCGGGTTTTCAAGGCGCCAGAAGTCAATCAGCCCAAGGTGGATCATCCAGTCAAAAAGTTCCGATCGTCCGTCATCGTGGTAGGTCGAGGAGGGTTGGGCTTGGTCATATTCCGGGTCCATAGTCATGTTTAAATCGCCTAACACGACATGAACGGCAGAGTCGCCAAACTCACGGGGTAGGCTGGAGAAGAAAATGGCCCGCTCGGGGGGCTGAGCAGGCCCGTAAACCACATGGAAGTAGATAAGAAGTGACCCCAGCCGGGCCGAAGCAACCAGGTACCGATTGATCAGTACTGGGTTGGTGGCATAGGCGGGAGTCAGGTCCTGAAGATCGAGGAAGGGGTGTGCCCCGCCAAAGAGTAGGGCGACACCGTTACGGTTTTGATACTCAAGCGTGCTCTGGTTAGACCAGTAAGCGCGGGCTTGGGAGTCGGTAGCTTGAACGAAGTAGTCGTTGTCGGCCTGAGACTTGCGGCTGGTGAGCCGTGTTTCTTGCAGGGCGACAACTTGGTAGCGCGTTAGAAGATTCTGGTACAGTTTGAGGCTTGGCTCATTGAGCCCGTTCACATTGAGTGAAACAGCCTTGAAAGCCCAAGGCTCCTGCCTAGAAGTGAAGGCGAGGGGCTAATGCTCCGGTCTTGGAGGGTTTTAGCGCTTGGACGTCTGTAATCAGAGATTTCAGGAACTCAGGAACTGACTTGTACTGAACTAAATCTGTGGCAAACGAGCTGAACGCTAGTAGCCACAGAGTGTGTTCAGAGAGAAGCGGGATCGTAAGACTGGTGAGAAATTGAGGGTTTTCATCAGTCAGTACGTGGAGTTTGACCGGGTCATGGTAGACTGTAGGCGCCATAATATGGAGCACTACATCCCATGCGGAGAGCGTCAGTAAAGCATGGGTCGGGAGATCCAAATCCGGGGCTGCATGACGTAGAATGCGTTTCAGTAGTCCTGAAGGATTGCCCTTGGCCTGGAGAAGCTTGAGGCAAGATTTCCGGGCTGTATTCTTGACAGGCGGTGTGGAGGCTAATAGCCTGCACATGGCCCGATTCACAGCCAGGATATCGAGACTAGTCTTGGAGTCGATCGCTTTCAACATTATGCCCGGGTTGGCTTCAACAGTTGCAAGCTGATCCAGGGCCGGACGGTCGTTGAGTTCTTCTAAGAACGCATTGACGTAGTTGAAGAGGTCAATGCGAGTCATCTTCTCGACGTCGTACACCATGGTAACGGGAGTAACCATGCTAACATAGGTGGCGCTGTTGGCATGGGCAGGGGTACTCTCCAGACAGGAATCGGCTGTCTCCGAGTGGCGGATCTCAAGGTCATAGTGCCACCGGGGGCTGTCGGGGTCCAAGTCATCGTACCACAGGGGACTGTAGTAGTTGGGCTTGGTGAGACTCGAAGCTTGGGCAATACCTTCCTCGCGACAGTAATCATAGGGGATCGGAGCGACCTCAACAGGGTCCGACCCGTAGCTGGCGAGAAGGGCACGGCGATTGGTCGCTGTCTTCGCCCACAGAGGGGCCGAAGGAGAAAACGTAGGCACCGTAATCTCTTCTTCTAGAACAGCCGACATGGAGTCCTGGTCAGTATTCGAGCCGGAGTCACTGGCGTCATCGTCCAGGGAGGGGGGCTCATCCGCTGACGACATTGCATCGTCAGATTGATCAGAGGGGTTGCTGAATGCGTCCTTACCAGATGCCATTGCGTCATCAGGAAGTTGTGAACGAGTCGCAGAATTCTGCTTGGCCAGTTGGATGGACTGTTGCAGCGACGAGGTGTAGCCAGCTGGCAAATCCTGAGATGGATCCTCAGCTGGGGTACCCTGGTCTTGAGCACGACGTGGGTCCGAGTCAGTATCCTTGCGTGCGACATCTGCAGCCTGTCGCGCGAGGATGGAAGGAGGGGTCACGCGGTTGTAGCGGGCCACCTTGTGGTTCACGAAGCACGCACGAAGCTGGATCATGCCATCATCTGGGGATGGGAAGCAAATCTCGCGCAATGGATCTGATTCCGAGGGTACCAGTACAGAAGGGGCGCTATCTTGGCCGAAGTAGACAGTGCGCTCTCTCGATTGAAGTCCGTTACGCACGTACGTGGGTAGCACGCACGTTGGCGGGGCGCCCCGCGAAGCGAACCAATCGAAGATCATACGATCAGTGACTTCGTCGGGGAGACGAACCAGATCGACGTAATACCGAGCATTGTACTTGGAGAAGCGAGAAATTTGGATCTGGGTTCCAAAGGCTTGAAGCTTGACCAGGCTCAGTGCTGACGCGGTGGCATAGGAAGTACAGGTGAACCGAATACCAGCATTCGGAATCAAATTGAAGTCTTGGACCGTGCGTGCATTCCTGGCGTCAGTCCAGACGACAGGCTGCTCGTGCATGCCAATCTCATCGAGCACATCACAGAGATGTTTCCCTCGGATTACCGTGGGACATGGGATCCACATACGGTGCATCTCTGACGCAGCGGTTTCCGTAGGAGCTAGCTTGAGAGCATTGGAGCGAAGCTCCTCGACCTTCGCAGCAGCGAGAGCAGCCTCGCTGTCTTTGAGTAGCGAGTCGGTCGGTAAATTGCGTGTTGGTACCGGGCGGCCGGGACCTGGGCGCGTCTTAACCATCGTAACTGTCGCAAAGACGTAGGTGCAGCTAGGCAGATCGATATGTGGTGGGAGTAAGAACTACCCACAACTTCTTCTCAAAGGTCCTTTCGGTAAACGCGGGATCAGCGCGTCCAGTGAGGAGACAGCACCACAGTAAAGGTTGCCTTGGCTGTGTAGAGGGACCTAGTCCGACTAACACTAACGTCGACTTCGAGGCGGTCTGTACAGGCCCACTAGCACCCGCCTAGAAAGGGGGAGAACGGAGGTAACTTCTGAAAGCAGAGAGAAACCAACCGCCCTAGTGTCTTGACGCACGTACTGCTCGGCAGCAGTGGGACACTCGGCTTATGAATGCGCTGGTACAGACCGAAGTCACGAACTTGGGGACGGTAAGGTCGAGGGCAGGCAGCAGCACGTCCGCGAGGAGGTGCTGGTGGAGACGCGAGGTACGAAGCTGGAGTCAAGTACTGGGACAGGTGCAGCCGGGG